CTCTAGCTCCTGGGGACCCAACAGGAACCTCTGGCTTCTTGGGGCACCTGGATATATATACCCACATGCAAACACAGTCATCTTCAAATAATTAAAAAAATAAAAAAATATATGTTAAACAAACAAAAATCTAAAACCAAGAAGCAAGCGACAGCAACTAAGTTTTTCTATTCTTCTATCACAAGCAAGTACATACAAGATATACAAACCAAGAAATGAAGACCGTTAAAGCCACGCTGAAAGTCTGTTTGGAATATATATATATATATATATATATTCCTTTCTGTTGCTCTGATGAAACACCATGACCAAAAATAAATATTGGGAGGGAAGGGTTTACTTCACTTTCACTTCTATATCAGAGCTCATTCCTAAAGGAAGTGAAGACAGAAGCTCAAGGCAGGAACCTGGAGGTCAGAACTGAAATAGAGGCCATGGAGGAGTGTTGCTTTCTGGCTTGCTCACCATGGCTTGCGCAGTCTGCTTTCTTGTAAACATACCAGGACCACCATCCCAGGGGTGGCACCACCCGGACTGAACAATGATCGTTAAGAAAATTCACCACAAACTTGCCTACAGACCAATCTGGAGGGGCATTCTCACAAAGGAGGTTCCGTTTTCTCAAACGACTCTAGCTTATGTCAAGTTGATATTAAACTTAACACGGCAATGGCTATCAGGGGCAAAGAAACTTGTTTGTGTGGAAGAAGAGTCAAAAAGGAAATGAGGTGCAGGCATGGGTGGCAGAAACCAAAGCAGAGGCCAGAAGTGGGCTTGGAGATGAGTTGACAGACAGAGGCTGGGACAGTGCGGGGTTGGGGGAGGAAGCCATAGATTCTCACGGTAATCCTTTACCTGTAGTAAGCTCTAATTGGATATTTAATTATAATTTAACCAGTATATAAATGCAGAGGATGAAACTTTGATCCACATTTTTAGAAAATGGACAAAGCGAGGCTCACAGAAGTTAAGCCACTTGTTCAAAGTAATACAAGCTAGTAAGCAGAACCAAGATTACACCCCGGTGTGAATGACCTCAAAGACAATAAGACAGAGAAACGGTATCATTGAGCTAGGGAAGACAGCTCCAACCTTTGCCCCCAGACACTGGAAAGGTCATGGAGACTGAGGGGAAAATGATGGTTTGCTATCGCTATGGACGCCAGAATGTGAATAATCCGAAGAAATGTGTCTGTTGAATTTTGAAAAAAAAAAAAAAAAGAAGAAAAAGCAAAGAAGGAAAATGTGGACAAACGACCTGTGAGAGGAAGCAGGAGTCCAAGGAATTTGCAGAGGAAATGGCGGTCTGACAAACAGACTTTCAGGGTGCCTTTAACAGTCTCCAGTTTTTGGTTTGTATAATGGACTTGCTTGTGACATAAGAATAGAAAAACTTAGACGACATCACGTCTGTGCTGGATGACATTCCAAAGACAAACGTGCCTTCCATCTTGTTAGCTTCTGCTCCTTGCTATCCCTCCCTCTCAATAAGTTTTCCATCTTAGACAGATCCACAAGGCAAAGGTCTGAGGGCTTGAACTTACAGCCAGTGTGAATGGGGTACTCAGTGCAACAACCATCAACAAAGTGAATCCTGCCCCAAGCCAGGCAGGTAAGCTTGGGACTGGATTCTGCCCCAGCAAAACCTTGATGGAGACTTGCTAGACATCCTGGGCCAACACCTAGCTTGTACCTATGAGAGGATGGTGTAGGATGCCCTTCTGTAAGCTGTGATTATGTGTTTCTCTTATTGGTTGATGAATAAAGCTGTTTCAGCCAATGACCAGGCAGAATATACCTAGGTGGGAAATCGAAACAAAGAGAGATAAGGTGGAATTGGAGAGATGCCATGTAGCTACCAGGGAAGCGAGATGGCAGGGCATCACCATAAGCCACAGCCATGTGATGATACATAGATTAATAGAAATGGGTTAATTTATAAGAGAGAGCTAGCCAGAAATAAGCCTAAGCCATTGGCCAAACAACTGTTACTGATACTAAGCCTCAGAATGGTTATTTCTTAAGCAGCTGTGGGGATCTGGTGGGTGGGGGAGACCTGTCCAGTGGGACTGGTGGGATGGAGAAAAATCTCCACCTACAAGGGAACCCCGCTAAACTGTACTTAGCTTCTGACCCCCAGAAACCGAAGGATGTATGTGTTGCTGCAAGGTGCTGGGGTCACTGGATAGATTATATTGTCAATATTCAAGGATTCTACTGCAGTAAATTCATTTGCTAAAGTTTATTCATATTCTCAAATCAATCTATGGCACTTTCACGGCCATTTGTGAACACGTGCAGAGTGGAGGCTCCTTTGCATTGCCTGAGCTAGGAACTCTAGGAGCAGCTGGACAGTGGGCTGCCTTCGCTTCGGCTAGCCTGTTATAAACATGTGAGCTTTCCTTTAGTTTTCCTTCTGTCCCTTTTTGTTGATTTCATGATTTAAGAGCACTGCTAAGGGGAGTGAAGTATCGCTCAATGTTTTAAATGCACAAGGGCTATGCTGGGTCTTCTTTTGCTATTGCATTGTTCTGCTACTTGGCGTCAGATCCAGGGTCTTCAGTGTGATAAGCCCGGGCCTTACAGAGCTACACCTCCAGCCCTGGGGCTTGTCATCTGGAGAGACTGCCTGTGCGGAGAAGCTCTGCTCTGGCATGGGATGTATTCAAGGTAAAAACATACTAAATAGGTGTTTTTAAACAGTGAGAGAGAGGGGGGGGGGGAGCTACTGTGTTGGTCAGTTGATGGAAATGCTGTAACCAGAAGTTCCTACTAACTGAGCCCTGTGTTTCCTCCCTCCACAAAGGATTGATTGGTGTGCACTAATTCATGCTGTGTGGATTTCATAGGACAGAACCATCATGAACAATGAGAATCAACCACAACTTGTTAATGGCAGTGGATAATGAACATGATGGACAACTGGGTAATTCGTCTCGCCCACCTGAGAGGGGAGAGATTCCAAAGGAAATCAAGGTCAAGTGTCCAGGACTGTCTGTTCCTCACTGGGGATGAGACTGCAGAAACAGACTGCAGTTATTTCTGTCAAAATAGTTAAAAAATAAAAAAAAAAAATCAGGTTCCTGGTTAAGAAGCTTATTTTAAAAGCTGGAAAGCTGACTCGGCTGTTAAGAGCACTTACTGCTCTTGCAAAGGACAGAAGTTTGATGTCCAGCACCCATGTCGGCTGGCTCAGTCACCTGGAACTCTAGTTCCAAGGTTTTCTTCAGCCTCTTTAGGCACTGCATGCACATAGTGCACACATAGGCGGATAGACAGACAGACAGACAGACACACACGGACAAACGCATGCACATGAGAAAAATAAATAGATCTTTAAGGAAGGTTTTTTGGGAAAACATAAATGCAACTATGTAGGAACATTAGCCACATAGAGAATCTTCTACTCTGTAAAGCCGAAAGCCGTGTGTAGATCAATGCTTCAAAAGTCATCAGTTAAATGAAGAACTCCATGACAACCTAGAATGATGGAATGGAGGCAGCTCCTGGCAAGGCTTATGCACACCGACACAGCCAAGGCATTGAAAGGGCACAGGAGACGATGCAAACAGGCACAGTCCTTTGGAGACGCAGACGGCCTAAACATAGCTTTTCCATGACCTCCCCTGAAAGGCACGGCTTTGGTGGCTGAAGGCTTATTCACTCCATAAGACTCCCTTTTATTTGAATTATTAATTAGGCTCCCACTCCACCCGTCATCTCATACCCTGCACTCACTCCAAAGCGTGGGCTAGCTAAGTCCTTGAAAACACATGGGTTTGCAGAATGCCCCTCTTTGTTTAGCATGCGTGTATTTTGGGAATTTATTTTTAAACGTTTCTACCTCTGCCCTGTGATTTAAGTGCTCCTCTCTTTGTGTGGCTTGCTGCTCTTCACAGCTGTGCCATGTGGAACAGTGTGCACCCACCCGACTCTCCCACCACCTTGGGCGCTGGCAGCCAAATGAACGTAACTGTCTTCTTTGCCACAGCCTGACATTCTTTCATTTGTGATTAGCTCAGCCTTCTCTTTGCTTCTTCCCCTCCTTGCTTCTATATCCGCCAGAACTCATGCTGAGAAAACAAAAATCCTCCCTTTTTGTTAATGCGTTTGTTGATTCAGAGTGCGGTGACCACAGGAGTGTGATTCTGGGCCGGGTATACGACGTGGTGCTGGGGATTGAACTTAGGGCTTTGAACATGTGAGGTGAGCACTCCACCAACTGAGCTAGACCCGCACTCTCCCACACTATATATTTAGTTAAAAAAAAAAATAGTAGTGCTTTTAAACTCTGGTTTTGCCTAAAAGCTATGAAAGTTCAACAAACAAAGACTCCAGAAAAGAAAAAGGAGGGGAGAGACAACTGAGGTCAAAATGACAAATGCCAGCTGGGAGGCACACGCCTTTGATCCAGCACGCGGAGGGCAGCCAGTTTGGTTATACAGAGAAACCCTGTTCAAACCAACCAACCAACCAACCAAAAAAAAAAAAAAAAAAAAAAAAAAAAAAAAAAGGCAAATGCCTCTTTGCATGCATGCATGTCTCTGTGCATGTGTGTACCTGTGTGCGTGTGTATGCCTGCATGCGTGTGTGTATTGCTGGAGATCAAATAGAGAACTTTGCTCATTCCAAACACACGTTTTACCACTGAACTATACCCCCAGCATTTTAATTTAAACTGGTCCCCCAGTACATTTTAATTTAAAAATAAATACGTTATGAAAAGCCAAGTGACAGAGAAAGGCACACTCAAGTAACCATGAAATAAGAGGATACTTCCAAAACAAGAAGCTCTTTACCCGAGGAGTAAATGATACATTTTGAAAGTACAGAGCAAAGAACTCCAAGACATGAAAGGATGCTAGAAAGAGAATAATATAGTTTAGACTTCCAGGAAAACCAAAATATATACAGTTTGCCTGTGGCAAGTGCCAAGCATATCATGCTCCTGCAAAGGGAGACCACAGAGTTTCACTAAGTTGAAAAAGGAAACCGCAAAATGTGGAATCTAATTTTATTTTAGAGTTACACAGCGAGGGTATATAGATATATTCTTACATATTTTCATATTTTTAATCCATACTACTTAGGTAGAATTTATTTGTTTACCAAAACAAGTCTAATATATACTTTACTCTCAGCAATCCAATACATGTAGAAAACTCTTTCAATATATAAAATGTTAATTTGTGCACACCTAGATATTTCTAAAGTAGCAGACCACAGGGGCATGTGATAAGACAGGGTTGTGCAGAACCATAAAGGAATCCTCACTATTACATCCTAAGAATGGAGGCTAAGGGGAAGTGACTTCCTTGCTCATCAGGATGCCCTAGGAAGGAACTGTATATAACACTGTATGGCTTCAACAGGAACTTTGGGCTTTCCTCCATCCCTAGTTGTTGCCCTCAACATCTCATTCTTCATCACCTATCTTCTGTGCAGATTTTTGGTCCATCCCTTAGTCAAAAGCCAGCTAAATAGTCACTGCTACTTAGAGTGAAAACACCACCCTGGCCCCCGATGAACCCCCTCGGTGTTCCCTTACCTACAGATCTACAGGAAAAAGTGCAAAGAGTTCCCAGCAGTCCAAACCAGAGCAAGAATGCTGAGGATGCAGGCACTGGAGCCAAGCAATGGAAGAGTTATATCTACCTGTTTACAGGCTAGTTTGGGGATTTGCCAGTAGTCTATTCATTGGGTGAACGTGGTAGCTTTTCTCTAGCACGTGCAATTAAAGTAGCCTGTTTTTCTGATGATAATAAGATAGCACAAGCCTAAATATTGGAATGGTATCACAGCCCAGGATATTCCAAACATCATTTATTTGAAAGATGCTCACACTAAATTTACTACGTCATGTCACCTGAGTGAGCGTCCAAACAAAGGCTGGACAAGCTCAAAGAAAATGTAAGTGGTGGGACTGTTACCATATCTGATTGGCTGTGAAGACCTTGCTCTCTCAATGGTCCGCTCTCTACAGGTTTCCTTAGTTGAACTCTGAGGTGGATGGAGTGAATGGATCAGACAGGTGAGGAGATCAGAATGTTGGGTAGCGATCCTCAAGCCACCGTGATGCTCGGAGTTGGGCTTACAAAGGTCACGGCATGCTATGAAAGCTCAATCTGGGTTTTTTCTATCAAATTAGCCAAATGTAATGAGGAAGGAGATTTAAAAAAGAAAAAGACAAAAGTCTAAAAGGTGCCAAGCTGAAAAGGATCGATAGGTAAAACTAAATGGCCATGTGGAGGCTTATGAAAAGAAGGGAAATGGCCCATGGATAGTGTGTGAGCTTGGATGGAAGACCAGATTGGAAACAGACAGGAATCAAATGGAGCCAGGGAAACCCTGTTACCTGGGCAACAAAGTCTCCCTGATGAGGGGACAGCTCCAGGGCACAGAGTGTAGACAACTCTCCTCAACAAAGCCACCAGGCGGGGCCTGTCTTCACTCCGTCTTGATGTCTGCCCACTACTTGGTAACAGAGGACTCTGGAAAATGAGTCTCAAGAGGAGCTTGCTGGACGGCTTCAGCCTGAGTCTGGTCCTTGCATGCTTTTGTGCGAGGACCCCTCGTTTTTCTCAGTAGGCCACAGGTGATATTTACCTGTCTCTAAATGCTGAAATTTTCTCTACAAGGCCAGACATTTACAGTGCAACCCTATAATGCCAGCACTTGGGAAGCTGAGGCAGAAGGATCACCATAACTTTGAGTCTGGCTTGATCTACATAGTGAGTTCTAGGACAATTAGGATACATAGTGAGATCGTGTCTTGAAAGAAAAAATATTTTTGACAAAAACAAGTGAGTTTATATCCACTTCTGCCCACTCAGCTGGAGAAAGTGTTTAAGTAGATACAAAAGGTGTAGAGGCCAAGGGGGGAATGGGTCTATTGGGTAGCGAAGCGATCAGCACGCTTTCTTCTTATTTTCTTCCTCTAAAGATGGTGTCTGGTTTTGTGGAGAACTGCCTGTTGTCACTACTCCATTCTGGAGAGGAAGGCTTGAAAGGAGCTTCAGACAGTATGAAAACAAATGGGTGCCTCTGTGTGCCAGTAGCATTTTATTTTAGGATACTAAAATCGGTAAAACACCCTAGTATGATTGAATATGGCTAATGGAGGGAAGCCACCTTCACTTGTAGCGGAGGCCTACCCTCAGGATAGCTTGCCAGTCTCTTCTAGAGACCCACAGATAAAAAAGGTATATGAAAACTAGAAAGGAACTATTTCGTGAAGGCTAGTATATACTTGCGCTTAATTGTAAACCTCTTAAAGCAGGTTGCCTTTGCAATGCATTTGCATGTTAATTTTGGATGATATACTGTTACCAAATAAGGTTTGAGTGGGCCACCTTGGAATTGGCAGTTGAAGTTTAAAGGCTTGAACCTGCTTTGTGGCATGAAGCATAGTTAGCTACTGATAATTCGATGTTCATCTCAACTTTCACGATATGAAGGTCTCCAAAGATCATTAGGGAAATAATGTCCTAAAAGAGCCATTACATACAGCTATGTAAAGTAAAGCTTACACGTGTTAGAAGGCCTAGGCTCCCTTGGAAAAATTAAAAGAAGACTCGAGTGGACAGAAAGGGAGCAGATGCCTTAGCTGATGAGGATGTCATATGTCTGTCTGTCTGTCTGTCCCAATCAGACTCAACATTTCATAGATAGAGCTCTAGAGAGTCACATTCCAGGGACAAAGCAAGCCCTGGGCATCTTAAATCCAGAACAAGCTGTGCAGGGAAATTCAGCCAAACTACAGACATGCATCCACATCTGTCTAACAGCGGAGTTAGGCTACGCTTTCGGTAAAAACCAGTCTAAGGAACTAAGTCCCATTGCATCGAGGGTTAGCAGGATAATAAAATGGAAGGTTCTAGTTTCTTGCTAAGGTTCAACTCAAATCGTCGAGGCACATACTTGGCAAGATAGGAAAATACACAACATTTCATAAAATATTTTAACAGTGAACAAACGCTCTTCCTATTTTTTGCCATGTGGACATTTCCAATGGCACCGCGCAGTGCAAGGAGGAGAAAGGTGATACCAGCCCTGTCTCTTCCATGTAGGCATGTTCCAGCAGACCACGAAGCAGGAAGTGATCCCTCCTCTGCAGGCCCACCAGCTATGGCTTCTCTTTCAGCTTCAGGTCGATACTGGGTTGTAGCGATCGGGGCGGGGCGGAGAGAGAAAACAGCAAATGAGGAGCATGCAATGATAGCTCACCTGTCACTCATTGATATCTTTCTGTCAATAACTTAAACCACCTAAGTTTTTATGCTAGAAAACTGTCTACAGGTTGTTAAGTTTTTCTATAAAGTATTGTCTCTGGGGGCTGAAGCGATGGTTAAGATGGCTCAGTGGTTAAGATTACTGGCTGCTTGCTCCTTCAGAGGATCTGGGTTTGATTCCCAGAACCCACATGGCCATTCACAACCATTTGTAACTTGTGACTCCAGTCCCAGGGAATTTGGTGCCCTCTTCTAGCCTCTCTGGACACCAGGCGTGCACACAGCGAACAGACATACACACAGGCAAAACACACATGCACATATAAGGAAGTAAATAAATATTTAAAAAAATTGACTGTTTTTTTTTTTTTTTTTTTTTTTTTAAATCTGCTTCTGGAAGCATTTTTCGCCTTTCCAAAAGGACCCAGGAAGGTTCATGGTAAGCCTCAAACCCAAAGTCAAATCAGATAAAGACCATCACGATGCCTTCCTATTTTTAGTGGATCCATTTTCTTTCTTGTGATAGTTTTTGTGTCCACTTGACTGGAGAGACAGTACAGCACATTTCTCTCTCTGAGAGACAAAGAGAGAAGGAGGGAGGGAGAGGGGGAGAGAGAGACAGAGAGAATATGTCTACAATGGTGAAGACCCATCTTGAATGAGAGTGGCGTTGTCTACCAGAGGGTGCTGGACAGACCGGAAAACAAAAGACATCAAGTAGCGCTTGCCCTCTCCTGACGCTGTCCCTTCCTTTCCGGGAGGCTTTTCTCCTGCTGTTGCTTGTGGACCTCAGACTCTGCAATCTTTGACCTTTGAACATAGGCTCACACCACCAACCCTCTAGAGAGCCTTCATCCTTGAACTGTGGCTAAATACTGGTCTCTGGGGTGTCCAAGGGGCAACTTGCTTTCCTGGCTCTCCTAGCTCCTCTCCAATATGGAATAAACATTCTGGGAGCTGCATGGGTCTCTCCTCTGCCTTTTAACAAACATCACCCAAATGTCTCGTACATACACTGCACAGGAAGAGAACGAGGGCCAGCGAACAGCCAGAGATACTTTTATCCAGTCATGATAAAAAGAGGAAGGAATCATTTGAAAGCAGCATGTTAGGAAGTCTGGATTTTTCTCTGCACCTCTGAGTCATCAGTCTGCCTGGGGTGGACTTTCCTGTGGCCCATGTGGCAAGCACGTCCTTCCTAGTAGCTTTGCAGATAAAGCCACTTTAGCCTTGATCACTTGTCTGTCCAGGGTGCACAGTGTGGTGTTCTGACTTTGAAGTTCCTTCAGTGACTTCAGCGCTTGGTGGTTGTGCACACTTGACCACTTCACCTATACCCTCCCAGTTCCCATTTCTGGATTGTATTCCATGGAGACAGATTGGCACAGTCTATCTCACAACTAGAAAAGGAGTAGGTCTAACTTGGCAATAATCTTCTCTCCTTAGGGAATTTGAAGAGATCGCTGTGACAAAAGTGATGAGGGACCAGCTCAGAGGAAACCAGACACTGGAAACTTATTTGTTTCTTGTGCCTTCCAGGATCTGACTTGTTATCTGCAGGACTTTGCTTGGGCAGTGTATTTGTTCATCTGCTGGACCCCCATATCTGTTCTTAACAAACTTGTACAAAGCAGGTCATTTTTCTTTTTTAATTGTGTTTGCTTCTAAGATGTAAAATGTACTCAGAGGTCAGTGCTAGGTCTGAGCCGGTAATTGGAGTTCTATTCTTTCTCTCAGGGAACTGGCTCAGTTTCCCCATGAAAACACAGACATTCACTAATCTCAAACTCCATAGAGTTTAAAGTAGGCAGTCACTGCACTTTGCCTTTGACAAATACCTGATCCAACACCCTAGAATATACATCTCCAAGTCTCTCTCTCTCTCTTTCTTATTCTGAGTCCTTTGTCAAACTTTCTGGGGTTTAAGACATTGCTTTGGTTTGTTGGTAACAGAATAGCTGAAAGACTAAAGCCTGTTTACCCAATCCACACAAAGAGCAACTGTGGACAACTTCCTGACGAGTCTGCACAGGAAACCGTTGTACAGATTGCTTTCAGACAAGCGCTAGCTTGTGGGGGTCAACAAAGCCACTGATAATGCTTCTAATTTATCCTCACCAAATAGAACCATTGACCATACCATTTTTAAAAAATGCATTACGAATATTAACAGTCCTGCTAAAACTTTGCGATAGGAATGAATAAAACCCAAACCTAAAGTAAGGGAGAAAAGCATGAAAATAAGTTTCCTAAGAAAGTGTCCGTTTCGAGAACGACATTGATGGCAACCTGGACCCGAATTTAATATAGATGGGTGATTTGTCCTGTCTGGGGAGATGAGCTTAGTTGCCCATAACCAATTGGCCCTGCATGAGAATGACTTATCTCAGTGGCAGGCTGCTCACTTCTTGCAAGTATTAAATGAGATTCCTCACAAGGTATGTGACAATCCTATTTAATGGTACTTAAAAATACTTGCGTTTAATGGAGAAGTGGCAAGGAAGGTATAATGTTCCTTTTCTCTGCGCAGAATGGGAGGCCACTCTAGTACCCTTACATATCTCTTCATTCTTAGCCCGATGGAGCCCCTTGAAAGAGCTTGTGCCCAATTTGCACTTCATCCATTCCATACTAGCTACAGGTGTAAAATGCTTCCATGTAGTCCCCTCCAGAAGCAGGAGAAGCTGAGCAAAGCGCATTCGTTCTAACATTCATTAATATTAAAGCAGGCAGGCAAACACATGCAGGTCTGGAGGCCAGGGGGAAAATTCTTGCCCATTCTTGTTCCCCATCTTGGACCTCATCCTGCTGTCTGGGGCGATGGTATGCTTGGTGGAAGCTCAGAAAAGACGGAGATGAAGAAAAGGAAAACTTCTAGAGCATATGTTCTTCTAAGAATGGGAAATAACATCAACAGTTGGCAGCCCCCGCCCTCCCCACAGCCAGCCCCGGAAAGAGCGCAAACAGGAATCCATGTGCCACCTTTTCCACCAACCCCATAGCCCTCCCACAAATGAGGAGCAGACAAACAAGGCAGGCAGAGGAGTGGGTAAACCCCAAGATGTAGCAGCAGTAGGCCAATTAGGGGCAGGCTGAACTATGGGTGCTGGTAAGTGTTCAAGGAGCATTGCTTTACAACAGGAGTTTTAACTCCTGTCTTTGAGAAAATGAATTACGATGGACTTAGAGACTCAGATAGGTTTGCTTTGCAAAAGCAATTTGCTTGAAGTAATTGGTGCTGTCCTCTCAAAAATTAGGACAAGAGTGACCTTTAGGAAATAGCTTTATGATTTGTAAGGTCCCCTTTCAACAGCTATCCTGCAGTTTGTTCCTTTTTTGAGGAGGGACACGGGGTTTTGTCCCCAAACTTCCTGTAAGCTGTAGAGTCAACAAGGCAGCTTGCAGACACGGCACTGCGCCTTTCCAACTTCCCTTTGGACTTGGAGGAGATAAACAGTGCTGTGGCAGATATGCTGAAGCTGATCTTTGCGTTGCCTTTTTTGGTCCCTGGGGACAAAGCCAACCCTAAATTCTCCACTACTCAAGCCAGATTAGGAGATTCTTGGTGGATGTTAAATTTTCTGAGATTATCTTGCTGACCACAGTTACATGAATCTGACACAGCCGCTCCTACGTGAGCAGTTCCTGTCCTCTGTTAAATGAGCCGCAGAAGCATTCAGCACCTCTGACTGGAAAACCACAGGCTCTGATCTGCAAGCTCAAGGTTCAAATCCCACCTTGGGCCTTTTTTCCCCCTTTGTAATGGCTGCAAAACATTGGCTAGTCACAAGCTTTATCCGTAGTTCCCTTTCTATTAAAATGCACTTCGTATTACTCTAGAATGAATCCCAGGTGCTGTGTGTGAGCTTCTTACAGAGTCTGGGCTAAGGACTCTACGCATGCCCGATTTCTATTTCTTACAGGACAGCAATATCCAACTATAAAATTCCAGATGTCCCAGACAGGCTCAACTGCCTCTTGGAATTTGCAAAGCAAAGATATTTCTTCCCTATCCTCCAAAATATTAAATCCACATGGAAGACTGGGTTTTTCCTAAACACAATGGATGATGTAATTCCGAAAGCAGAGTTGGCGTTCTTCTTGCCCCAGCGTTCCGACAACTGGCCCCCAAATGCATGTGCTCATTTTTGGAGCAGAAAGGTGAACGTCAGGCAAAGCATTCGGTTGTCCTTTGTGGCAATCACTAAATCCACAGTAGCCGGCCATCGCCTCTGTAATTAGCTGTTTCAGAAACAGAGCCCACAAAAGCTGAACATCTCAAGGGGTTTACCCAATCCCGGATACATTCGTTTCCCTTTGAGTGCAGCCATACAACACTGCATGTAACCACACAGCTGTTACTGATGGCGGGTTCTTACTCCTTCTCCATCGAAGTCATTTCCGGGTCATTGTAAAGGCAGCTAGTTCTGGGTGCAAGGGAAACAAACAAACAGGAAGCAGTCAACATTTTCTTGCTCTTATTGCCGTGTCAGCATCGCTTGCTGGTGCATTTGCAACTGTTTAATGTGGTGCCACTTACTACTCCTGTGCCCCCAAACCTATACCAGAACAAGCGATGCTAGTAACTTTTAGCATTAGGACTGACATATAGTCATTAATCAAGGTATTGGAATACAAAACGATAATAATAGTAACAAAGCGTCAAACACCTGCAGAGGTTACCTGTCCTAGCCATTTTTCTTACTTTTCAAATCTGTTTCCTATGCTGTGAACATAAATATGGAAAAAGAATTTATGTGCCTCAAATAATAAAAAAAAATTTATACACAAAGGCAAATCTTTTAAACAGCTGAATTGTGCTTTGACAGAACACAGCCAGCCTTCAGGCTTCCCAAGAGTGAGGAATTCCCAAGGCCTGGAAAGAAAAGACTGCCTGGGCCAGCTCCGCTTGATGTTACAGGAGAGGGGCAAGACACTCCCCACTGCCCAGGGCTGAGCAGCTCAGATGGCTCTCATGAATTCTAACACCCCCGAAGAGGGACAGGTCCAGGAAGAGCTGCGTAGCCATATAAGAGAATAAAATCAAAGTTTTCAATGCTGTATGTGTCTTTGTGTAACTTAGCGGTTCATGGTGTCCATATCAGGGTGATAACTATGCTAACGGATTTCAGCTTCCCCTTATATCAGTTCCTAATGCTTGTACACTGCAGCTTTTACTTTTCCCCCTCCTCTGGTAAATGATTTAAAAGATCCTATGATCCTTTTAGCTTACTTTTGAAAATAATTTTTTTTAAATGTGTACAAATGTCTTGCTTGCATGTATGTATGAGCACCGCATGTGTGCCTGGTGCCTGCAGAGGTCAGAAGAAGTTGGATGCTTTAGAATTGGCTCTACAGTGAGCTGCCATACAGGTTTTGGGCACACAAGCCAGGTCCACGTGAAGAACAGCAAAGGCTCTTAACTGCTGAGCCATCTCTCCAGGCCCATGGACCCTTTTTAAACACACCGGTTCCTTTTCCACTGAGAGTAATTGGACAAGCTAATTTGTCCATTTGATGAGGATCTGTGGCTACTTCAGTATTTTCCTGAAAATCTCAGGAGGCTGTTTCCCTCTCTAGGCATGGCCTCGCTCCCTCCCTTTTCTCACCCTGTGGTGGTCCAGTAATTTTATGGAGAAAGTTTGGTGATTCTAGGAGCAAGGACAGTGAAGTAAGCACCGACAGTGAGGTAGCAAAAGCCAGTGAAGCTGGAACCGAATCAAGAAAGGGCAAGCTTCCGGGCCCAGTCTCTCTGCTTTTCAACTGGGTGATCTCTCCAAAGGAAACAACCTGCAGACATTCCATGCTAACACTGGGAAGGCAGTGGATGGATTTGTCCTCATTTGTGAACAAAGAATGGGTCTGTGTGGTTTGGGTACAGTAACAGACCCTTCCACAGTGTTTTCTACCCTTGTGTGGGTCTAAGGCTCAAAAGAAGGCTGGCAGGCTGAGCCATCTCAGGGCACTCAGGGGTTGGACCATACGTGGTTTCAGTATCCAGGTAGCTACCACAGGTGTGCCACTTAAACCCTCTTCAAGCGCGTGGGAACTCTCCGGGTTCATCTGACATGTGCTCACTTTATGTCTCTCTGTCAGGATGCCTTTTGCCTTTTTCAGTATCATGCCTCGCAAGATGGAGCCATGACCACCCCCAATCAAAACAGCTTGAAAACTATGGGTTAAGTGATAATTCTTAGAAACTAAACCAAGCGTCTGTTTATTTTTACTATTATTTTATGCGCATGGATGTTTTGTTTGCATGTATGTCTGTGCACTGTGTGTACGACGTGTCTTCGGAGACCAGAGGAGAGTTTGGGATCCCTTAGACCTGGAGTTACAGATGGTTGGGAGCCATCCTGTGGGGATAGAACCCTGTTCCTCTAGAAAAACAGCCAGTGCTCATAATGGTTGGACCATCTCTCTAGCCCCAGAGTGTTAATTAAATCTTGAGTGGCCACGAAACTAATCCTACAAAAATCTTTCCAATTTTTATTTGCTACTGTTTCTTGTAATGCAGACTAATGTAGTTCTGCTGCTTCAATACGTATCTAAGGCTCATTCAGATGCAACACTCCATGCGGCAATGTCTGTGATGTGTTTTCTGGTGATATCTAGAACTTCAGACACATTTATAAGATAAATTAAACAGTGACAAATGCTTTCCTTAAGATAACCAAGATTGTGTGTGTGTGGGGGAACAGGTTATAATAAAAACATCAATGATTACATTGGCCATAGGAGGAATGGAACGTTCAAGGTGCAGCGTTATTATCAGGGGACAGGAAGAAAACAGCAGCCATGCCCATCTCCCCAATCATTCCCGAACTGCAAGCCAACATCACACCAGCCGCAAAACCCAAACCAAGTCTTACTTAGCTGCTTCTGATGCTTCCCTCAATTCTTCATCCAGTCTGCACGAGCAAAAATTACCGTTGGAGAAAACAAACAAACAAACAAACAAAAAAAGCAAGCAGAGCGTGAGCATCTCTCGCAAAGCAGAGGCAAATGTAAGTGGTGTGTATTCGCTTTATCCCCCCCAAAGCTGTCTCCAGGCACACCGAGACACGCTCAGCTAAACACAGTGCCCTTCCTTCCTGTTGGGCAGTCCTGTTTGTTCACTCCACAAATCCCTTCCTAAAGGTGATGGAAATGTCACAAGGGAATGAGAAACATGCTGGCTGAATGAAGCTTGGTATGTCCATATCATGTTGGGGACGGTTAAAGTTAGCTCACAGCCTGGGCCAAGTCAGGGGTGGATCTGGTTTAGTAGGTTTCAGAAGCAGATCTGGGTGACCTCAACAGCTTTACACACAGGACAAAGACTTGGACAAGAATTCAAAGACTTCCTCAGGAAGCAATGTTGAGGTCACCCACACATACAGCCCTGGAGCGCACACACGGGGAGTCCAGCGTGAATACAGATCTCGAGACTTTTACCTCACGTTTCTCTTAAAAGACTTTTCTTCATCGTACCTTACAAGATAAGAAATGGATGCCGTGAGGACAGTGAGGAACAGGAGGAAAATGAGAGGTGGATGCTTTAAACCAGTGGTTCTCCCCTTTCCTAATGCTGCCACCCCTTAATACAGTTCCTCATGGTGTGGTGACCCCAACCACAAAATTATCATGTTGCTGCGTCATAGCTGCAATTTCGCTACTGTTGTGAATTGTAATGTAAATGATCTGATACGCAGGATATCTGATATGCCATCCCCAGTGGCGTTGCGACCCACAGGTTGAGAACCACTGCTTCAAACAGTAAGCACACGAGAGAAAAACGCTTACCCAGACAACACGACTGGCTTTGGAGAGAAAACTTACTTGTAACAGGCACAATTAACCATTTACAATTCATAAGTATGTAGTCAACCCTCATTGTATGTAGATTCCCTATCTGCAAATCTGCCTGTTCACGAAGACATCTGAAATCTCTGGAGTCAACGTGCAGCACTTTATTTTGTTGTCGTTCACTTGTGGACACAAGGTAACAAAATTTCAAGTTGCCCCTTGTGCACATGATCAGCAGAGGTCGCACAGGATGAGGCTGTGCCTTCCTGTCTCACAGTTTCTCTGGTAAATGTTTTCCTCATTTTTGTTCTTTTGGCTGGTGACTGTGCTATTTAAAATAGCAGTCAAGCGTGTTACCAAACATTACCTACTGTTGGAAGGAACGAGACAGTCAGTGTACCTCACAGAGAATGTGTGTGTCCCAGAACATCGTTTTAGGTACACGCTGTCGTGCTGGGGCCTTGCGTGCATGATTTTGTTTGTTTTGTTTTGCTTGTTTGTTTGCGAGAGGGTCTTGCTGTGTAGCCCAGGCTGGCCTCAGACTCTGGGTCATTGTGTTTCAGTCTTTGAGTGTCGTGAACACACACAGCTGCCACCATATGTAGCGGAGCACAATGATAGTGAGTAGGTGTGTACACTAGGAAACTTTCTCAGACACAGACACACATGAGCCAAGGCTATACTGATGGCTATGAAAACCAAACCAAGGTTATATACTGATGGGTGATGAAAAACCAAGGCTACGTACTGATGGGCGATGAAAACATTGCAACCAGAAGCAGACAGGATCCCAGCCCTGTATTTCCCCCAGGAATAACAGCTCAGAGTTCACTGAGTGTCTACCACGACTTTATTGAACACAACGGTTCCTAGCTAATGAGAACCAACTGTAATTAATAATAACTACATTTCAACCTGTGGATGCCAGGCTACACCCAGCTGAATTCTGTTCTTGGGATTGTTTGGGATCGAATGCTTTGAATGTTATTCAGTGAAAGAAAATAGCAATGGCCACGTCAATTCGAAACTTATAGAATGTGGAAAGGAAGCAATGAGGGCTAGTAAAAGAAATAGCAGAAAAGATGCCCTGAGCTGTGTCATGACAGGCGGACACACAGATAGGGTGGGGTGGGGGTGTCCCACAGTGCTAGTTCTTCCTCCAGAAAATGAATCTTTCTAAAGGGAACTTTTACTCTTGAAGCATTTTTTCCAAAATGTGGCCCTTGAGAATAGATGGAAAGTGCCTGGCCATGCCTAGCTTCTCAATTGCCACTCCACCCTCAAGTACAGTAATTTTCCAAAGCAATGCAGTCATAATCACTAGTACTGTAGACTTCAAGCTCTGCCTTCTGCTCACCGCTTTCATTCAGTCCTCAGGCCCATCCACGCTCTGAGAACTACTTCCCCATCTTACGGTTGTGAGAACCAAACCTCTGAGGATTTTCATAGGCTGCCTGAAGGCCCAGAGGCATTGAGAAGTGGGAGGGGAGGGAGGGTTCGCATCCAATTGCCTCCAAGGCCCCTTTTCCTTCCACTGTCTCTGCCAGGTTATGGGAGGCCTTGCTTTTTTCTGGGAAATGGCCAGTGTTCACTCCCTTAAGAAGAGAGAATGTCTTTGTCATCTTTTGCAAAGGTATACCACCAGTACAGGAGGTGAATGGGCAACGAGAAGGGGAGCTAGAAGCTCGTCAGGATGCTTTACGGGCAGGTTCCTCAAAAAGGAGAAGTTCTGATTTTTGTCCTTGGCCAGAAGCCAGAAAGGTCAGTAGTTCTGTCCTGGCTGGAGGCTAGAAATGCAAGTGTGTTTGGGGCCTATTGTCTTGGTCTGCTATCTTACCATCTTTTTTCTTTTACACAGCAGGGAATACTGTTGTCTGGAAGTCACGAGTGAGGCAATGACAAACCTGGAGCACACGAATACCTGGTGGGCAGGACACCTGGGTTGACCAGATCTCCCATGCCCCATCCCATGCCTCAGTCTAGAAAAGCCTTTTTAAATGCTAGATAGGAACATCTGATGGTGAACTTTCTTTGGACCTACTCTTAACACATAAGCACTTTGCTGGTGTCTCATCCAAAAACTCTCATATGAACTTATAATAAACTCCTTCCCAAAACACACCCTCCCCAATGTCTGTGAAATTCATTCTTTGAGTCTGTGAGACAATGAACCCAGAGGCCACTGGCCCGGGATGACTTTTGGTGCCCGTTAATATTCCAGGACCCTAGACACTGTCCCACTTGCTATTGTTCCCCAGAACCCGTTTACTCCGTATCACTATTATTTTTATAGGGAGAGTGGGTTTGGGAGGCAGGGTGCAGCTTGTGGCATGCAGGTCAAAGCTGGAGGTGGCATTGGTCCTGGGAAATCTGCGGCTCTCCCGAGGACTGAAGCCCTGGTTAAGATCTTATAAATACTGCTTGGTTCAGCTGAGCCATCCGACTCCAGTAAGTCTATCAGTACACTGTGTTTAGGCCTGAGTTGGCTGATGGAGGGAAATCAAATGCTACGTATGAGCTATTGGATAAAGAATCTACTAGAAAAGCATGTAGACATTTGGTGACAGGCTAACCTGGATTTGAACTCTAGTCCCATCCCTGCCTGGTTCCGGCTCCTGCTTCCCTAAGTAACTTCTTACTAACTTAGCTCCCTGGCATCTGTTAGAATGGGGGTTAAGATGAGAGTTGAGTGTACTATACAAACACAGCTCCACAGTAAGAGGTTCCACAGTAAACAAGAAGACGCCAATTTCTATGTGTGTGCGACTGAGCTGCTTTGGATGCCCTCATTGGAGGACTATTTTGCTATCTATTTTCTGGAGGGAGATATACAACACTTGTCTTTTTCCTTAGAGTTCATGATCAAGTCCCTTTCAAGTCTAATGAAACAAACAAGCAAACAAACAGTTAATCAACTGTACCAAGAGTCAAAAGACCAGGATGCACAGAGGACTAATAATTCTTTGCAGTGACTGACTGGATAGGAATATCCATCCTCTAACATCTGTCTTCAAATCCCAGTTCCAAATGCTGTGAGTTAACTTTTGTTTTTGTTTTGTTTTTCGAGACAGAGTTTCTCTGTGTAGCTTTGGAGCCTGACCTGGCACTAGCTCAGTAGACCAGACTGGCCTTGAACTCACAGGGAGATCTGCCTGCATCTGCCTCTCTTCAGACGTAATCTTGACACCCACACAGTGCCTGTGCTTTTCACCCACAGGGTGGTCCTAGGCAAGGGGATTATTCCTCGCCACCCACCCACTCGTCAAAAGAGGCTCTCTATCTAATCTTCCGTCCAAAGGCAATCATGAGGACTAGGGGAGGGGTCTTTGGAGATAATCGTTGTTTCTTTTTATCTATTTTCTGGAATCATATAGTCAAATTACTTATGAAGAAAGAAATCCAAATTATGGGAAGACGTTAATGTAAAGCAGAGGATCACACCTGTAAATAGTCCAGTTAATATTACGTACAGGATGTCTCCAGAGTGGAAATATATTTCAAGGTAAAAATGTCAGTCAATAGCTAATATCAGTTCAAAAAATATGATCAAAATATATTACATGTCAGAAACTAATCATTAAAAGTTGTGTGAAACTGAATATTACACTGCCTGGAAGAGGATCTGAGAGAATAAGCGATAGCAAAAGCTTTATTTATTAGACAATATTTCCTTTAAAAATAAGATGCCATTTCTCATTATTCTAGATGTGATTAATATTCCAGGACCCTAGACACTGTCCCACCTGATATTGTTCCCCAGAACCCCTGTTTACTCCGTATCACTATTATTTTTATAGGGAGAGTGGGTTTGGGAGGCAGGGTGCAGCTCCAAACAACTTACTTGATGATGCTCTCTGGGATATGGATGCAGTCCATGGGGATCAGCCCACTGAGCTCAGATAAACTACTAACGTATTTAATTTTACTGCTGAATTTTGAGCTGAAAGAGAAAAAGGAGAAGAGCCTTTACGTGGTTTGTTATGTTTCCATCACAAAGCCATGGTCTCGTTCTGGAAACCTTCCTGGGATTCTTTTCTACATTATTGGCAACAGGGCTCTCACACATGCTAAGCATCCGCTCTGCCGCTGACCTGTACTACACCCACATCCTGAAATCTTGAGATGCTCAAGCTGGACTCAGCAAGCTTGCTGAGCAGAAAGGATAACATTGTCTCAGCCGCGATGATGGACCAGAAACTGCTTTAGTACTGTTTTTTAATAGGTTTTATTTTTTTTTTTTGAGAAGTTCGTACATGAGCCCTGCATCTCTATCATGCCCATCTCTCCTTCTCCACTATTAACTCTTCCCTCCCTACCCCAAAGTCAGGGTTTCTTCTTTATTATTGTTATACAAATATGTGTATATGTACACACATCTGTATGTGTATATATATATATATAAAATGTCAATTAGAAATAGTAGAAACAGCAGGAACCACCATAACTATTTTTTAATTGACGAAGGATAATATATATTTCTTTTATAAAAGCAGTTGCTTGAAGTACCAAATGCCTTGTGGAGTAGCTAATCTGTGCCAGGTAAAACATACCACTTCATATACTCACTTGGTTTTGTTTTGTAGTGAAAACATTTAGAAGCACCCTTCTTAGAAATTTGAAAATATAAGGCAGTTTTTTTTTTTTTATCAATGGTAGCCTTCATGTATAAGAGCTTTCTTGAACTTTCTTATTTTCTGTTTGTATTGTGTACTCTTGGAGCATCTTACGAAACTGGCCCCTTGAAGTTACCAGCCTCCTCTCTACTTCTGTAAGTTCCGTGCTCTAAGGTTCTACAGACAGCTCTCCCTCGGGAACCACCGCCGACCCCCAGATGCCTCAGATCCTATATGCAATGTCAAGACCGTGCAGACAGTGGTTTGCTTGTTGGGGGTGGGGCGAGTAGTAAAAAAACAAAAGAAAAGGTGTGTGCATTTTCAGAGATTTTCACCTGTTTAATGTTTTCTATCAGTGGTTGGCTGAATCTGCACCTGCGGGCCGCATAGATGCAGAGGGCAAAATGAGAAACGCAGAGTATCTGAAACATCTGAATAGCATACAGATCCTTAGTTCAAACAGAGAACCGGTGACAGGGCAGGCGCCTGGCTGTATTATGCAGTCGTGTTTACCTTTCTGAAAGAATCACCTCCTTTCCCACAAACACAGAACTATCACTAGAAGATGTCCAGTTTTCTCGGGGTTTCCATGCCAGGATTTAAGACACAGAGAGCTGAGCTTGGACAAAGTACCTCCCGATACTTTGCACCGGGAAAACAGAAGCACCTTTTTCCAGATGGCTCTTCCCCACCCTGACACACTTGGGTCACACTGGATGTGAGTTTTGAATAATCTTAGTAACTTTTTGTTTATATTTATTAAATTTTTTCCCATACACTGTATTTTCATCATACTTGCTCCTCCTTCAACTCCTCACATATCCTTCCCTTCCACCTGCCCATCTAACATCATGCCTCCCCCCCCCCACTTCAAAACAAAACAAAACAAGCCATCAGCTTTGGTTTGGGTTGTGTTTTCATTGCCTCTTGTTTACTGTGAGAATCAAACACCTGCTGCTGCTTTTGTGTTTCTTACATGGTCCCCCAAATGAGTAACCCAGCCCAAGTTGTGTAATTTGTCTGTGTCTGGTTTGTCCGGGGGACTGGGGCATAACTGTGAGATTCAGCAAGCATCCATCTTTCCGGGCTTGGCTCCAGCCACTGGCTGGTAGCAGCTCCTTCTGAGATGGACTGAGAGGAGGAATCCCCAGGACCCTTGGACCCTGGCCATAGCTCATCATTTAGAGAATTCCCGTGTGCATCTGTGCCTGCACTCACGTCTCTCTGATTTTCCTCCATTCTCAACTCCTTCCTCACCTTCATCCTGACCGGTCACCAGTGCCAAAATGCCAACTGTATGAAGAAGATTGAATAAGAAGCATTTTTTTTTTCCTATTTAAAGAGCTGCTTGGAACACACTGATATCTAATTCCAGGAATTTCTTTCCTTAACAGAAATGTCTGGTGGAAACGGCTCACACATGGTTGCACAATGAGATGGTCAACAAGGGAACCACATTCTCAATGCAGAGTTGTACTCTGCCCACTAGAGATGGGATAGGCTGAGGTCACTCTCGTGGAACAGTAACCTTTCTACTTGTTCCTACATCCTGTCCATCTCTCTCAAGGTTTTGTCCTTTATATAGAGTATGTGGTTTGAATGAGAAATGTCCCCTATAGTTTTGGGCATTTGACCACTTGGTCCCCAGCTGGTAGCATTTTGGGGGCAGGGGAGATTTAGGGTGGTAGAGACTTGCAGGAGGAGGCACGGTACTGCGGACAGGTTTTGAGACTCAAAGCCTCTAGTTACTTCTAGTTAGCTCTTTCTGTTTCCCGTTTGTTGTTCAAGATGTGCACTCTCAGCATCCAGTTCCTGTCGCTGTGCCTGCTGCTTACTGCCGTGACTCTGTGCGGGACTCTCATCATGGACTCTCATCCCTCCAGAAATGACAGCCAAATTAAATTCTCTTTTCCTTAAGTTGTCTTTGGTCATGGTGTTTTCTCATAGCAACAGAAAAATAATAAAACACGGAGTTACAGTTAAAAATCTTTTGAGCATTTAGTGTGTGTATATGTGTATGTATGTGTGTGGTGGGGGGCTGGCTCACCGACTCTCTGTCTGTGTCTGAGTGTGTACAGTGTATGTGCCGTGTGTGCATTTGTGGAGGGGTGAAGCTTACGCCAGTGTCTTCCTCCACCTGAACCTGGAGCTCACTGATTAGCTGGACTGCCTGGTCAGAGTTCCCCTCTCCTTTCCCCTGGGATCCTCCTGTCAGTGTCTCCTAGCACTGGAGTTACACGCATGTGCTGCCATACCCTGCTTTTACTTGGGTGCTGGGATTCAAAACTCAACTCCCTCAAGATTCTCCCCATAGAGATGGCCTCTGCAGCTGTGTTCAGAGCCTGGGACACCTGAAATCAAGTCATGGCGAGACAAGGGCTTTCCTCTCTCCTCCTGCACATGGTATGATGTGAATGCTCATGCTGCCTCTGTTCTCTTGTAGAAATAATGAGAGCTCTCCCTAAGGGCTCTGCTCCATCTACTCAGCTACAGTGAAAGTCCCGGGCTACAAAAAAATTCACATGCATTCTATGAGGCTCTCTGTTGCCCAGTGGTGTAAAGATCTAAGGACTGAATACTCTTGGAGCTGCCTTGGCAGGTTACAGACAGCCTCTTTGGGAATGTAGGCAGCACCGAGAAATGGGTGTAAGGTGGAGGAAACGATAAGACCTGACCACTAGTTTGAGTACAGGTTCTTCAGAAACTTGATATATTTTGATTTGCTGTTTCCTTGATGCAACTAGAGTTGAATTTCTGTCACTTAAAACCAAAGAACAGGGCCCTGTTTATTCAGGTGCCCTACTCCAGGCCACTAGATCATAGTTCATAACACTCAAAAAAAAAAGACAGCTCATTAAATTCCTCATGTTTTAGTCAATAGTTAATTTTTGCCAGCAGAAACTTGTTGCTCAACTATTTGAAGTCAGGAATGAGAATATTATAAATATCATAATATTTAATATTCTAATCATTGTTATAAATACTACTCTAAGAAATCTGGAAGGTACAGGAAAAAAATCTGTTACATGTATATATATATATGTATATATATATGCACTATATATAGTATCCATCTCTCTCCATATATATACACATATCTTATATTTATTTTCTCCAGAATATTGTACTTTAATGAGAAATTTATTAATAACTTTTTGTTTGTTTGTTTTGTTTTTCGAGACAGGGTTTCTCTGTAGCTTTGGAACCTATCTTGGAACTAGCTCTTGTAGACTTTTACATGGACTCTGGGTGCACAGTCCAAAGTATTTTTCCAGGAAGGCCAAAGTCTGTTAAGTTTCCCTGGATTCTCCTAGCTTACAAATCCTCATCACAGGAAAGTTCACAAACTCTGAAAAGACGTCATCATACAGGCATCTTGTGACCGTCACAGTTATACCTTATGAAAGGTCGCGTCACCGCAAGGATCGTTCTGATGAACCAAGATGGGTGGACAATGATGAATGACTTCAAGTTCTTGCGCAACCTGTCTTGACAAAAGAAACAATTCTACTGGAATTGTTGGAAACAGAAAATAGATCCCAAATGAGACTCCATGAAGTTCCCGGAAGGAGTTCCAGGAAAGTTACAATTTCTCGTAGATGTAGAGAATGTCCAGGGTTAATTTTTAAAATGCCTTCTATTTTTCCCCTCCCACTCTCCCCCACCGTGTGTGTGTGTGCATGTGTTTATTCACACGGGTATATGTGTAAGTGTGTATGGACTCCTGTAGAGAACACGGGTCTCCAGTGTCATTCTCCAGAGGCCATCCACTAAGACCGAGCCTCTCATTGAGACCCCAGGCTTGCTGATCAGACTCTGCTGGCTGGCCACTGAGCTCCAGGAGGTTGCTTGTCCCGGCCTCCCCAGAACTAGGCTTACAAGCAGGCACCACCACACTTATGGGACTTGAACTCAGGTCCTTGTGCTTGCCTGGCAAGCATTTCATACACTAAACTATGTCCCTAGCTTCCTGAAATAATTTTTGAGACATAACCTGACACTTAGCTCTTTTTTCCCCACAAGCAACAAAGCAAATGTAAAGGCTCATACTCCTACGGTATACAAACTCACAATAACTGGAATATTTTCACCTAATGATGTTTTTCAGTTTTTTTAGCCCTATCTTTGTTAACTTGAAAAGAATATGCCTTCAATAACAACTTAGACTATTCATTGTTTGTTTATCGTCTTTTGTTTTTGAGATCGGGCCTTGTGTAGCTCAGGCTGGCCTCAAACTCACTATGCAGCTAAGGATTACTTCTAACTTGATCCTCCTGTCTTTACCCCTGGAAACGGGGATTATAGGTGTGTATGCAGGTTATGAAAACAGAGCCTCATGCACCTTGGGTGAGTAAGCTATATCCTCTATCTCTTCACAGTTTATTTGGCCTGACAAAGCCTTAATTTGTTCTTATATATTTACCATTTTAACAATTCTTGTTTTCAGGCACATTTTTTTAGTATTAACAATGCTACTTGGGGCTGGAAAGATGGCTCTGTGGTTAAGAGCACTGACTGCTCTTCCAGAGGACCTGGGTTCAATTCCCAGCACCCACATGGCAGCTCACAACTGTCTGAAATCCAGTTGCAGGGGATCTGACACCTTCACATTAATGCACATAAAATAAAGTTAAATAAATCATAAAAATATTTTTAAAAAAACAATGCTACTTTATTATGTTGGATCATAAAACAAATTTTAGTTAAATGTAACAATCACTCTCATGGCATTATGAAAGAAGCCTCGTCTAAGGGGGTATAATATATACCATAAATTATTAGTTTTACTATTTTAATTTTCATATATATGACAATAAAGTTTGTCTGAGCAGAGAGATAAGGATTTTGAGGAACGAGCACACAAAGGCAGTGCTGGCTTAGCAAATACCTTGAACTAACGCAAATACTGAAACAGGAATACAACGGTTTGTAAACCGTCAAAACCCTAGTGCAGTGGTTCAACCTTCCTAGTGCTGTGACTCCCAACAATACAGTTCCTCATATTGTGGTGACCCCCGACCACAGTTATTTTTGTTGCTACTTCATAACACTAATTTTAGAGAGGAGCAGCATCTCAGTTCCTAAGATCGTGAGAAAGATGTGTCTTCTGATGGTTGCAACCCACAGGATGAAAACGGCTGCCCTAACACATAAAACAGTAGCTAGGTCACATGACACCACTGAAGGCTCATAGGAACCTAGGTTTGTCCATTCACGTTGCACGCCTATAGTCTAGAGTGAACTAGACCTGCCAGATTCAGGGTTAACAGTTTGAAAAATCTAGGGAGGGTTTGCTTTGCTTAGCCTTAGGCATCACGCGATACTTTCCACAATATTTTTATAACTTACCGCCTCATGTGTGGGTAACCTGCTCTCTCTAAGACACGACTGTATTATATAGAATAGAAGAATATTAGATGTGAGAGCCAGTGAGGAGTCAAAACAGTGACTAAACAGTGGTGCCCACGTACCGTCTGTCAATCATCTGGTAACATTTCTTCATCCAGCCTAGCCCTGGCATCTTCCGCCTGGGAGTCGCACCATTCAAGTACACAATCATGTAGTCTTCAGCCACCATCAGCTCTAAGGTACTTATTACATATCTGATCAGAGGAAGGAAGAGAAACATTTTCAGTTACCACATGAAAGATTTCATTCTACTGACACCATAATTAAGTGACATTCAAATTATAGGGTGAATGACATCGAAGGGTAGGGGTGCGCGTTATCTCTTTCTCTTGAGAACAATGCGTCAGCATTGCCCTTTTATGTGTATGTGTGCAGCCACCCTAGAAAAATACGTAGCTTTAAAAGGTGACATAAACAATGTCAGCAATGTTATCAAACATTAAGGGAAACTCAGATTAAAGGAGGGCAAGGGTCAGTGAGGGCAGTTTTCCCGTCACTGAGAACATGCTATCAGAAACAAAACAATCCTTTGCCCAAAGGAAACGTTAGAAAAGTTTTAACCATAGTTAAGACTCCACTCATTTTCTTCTCCCACTATTCTACAGACAAGTCCCCTAGAGCAAGGCTCCTTGACAGAAATACTACCGGCTTCTTATGGAAGGCTTCGGATGGGCTATGCCATGTACCCGTGCAATTAAAAACCCTTTATCAGCCATCACATGTCCACGGATGCCAACCCAATCACCACTCACAGGAAAAGGTTTTCCATGACATAGTGGTAATCCGCCCGGCTGCTGTCTGGCAGAAAACAGGCAGCAAACACAATGATGGCATTCAGGCCGTCCCCATAGTATCCTGGGGACAAATAAAAAGATATGTGTAACTGAATGAAATCCCAAAACAAGGTCATATCGCTCCTAAGAAGAGAAATCTGATGCCTTGTCCACTGTGCGCGCACATATAAACGAGATATATCATGAAACAAGGAATCATGCCGAGGGATGTTCTGTACGTATACACACATGTACTTATCTTCTAGTGGTTAGCATGTTTATATAGACAACACATGGACTCATAAGTCCCTAACTTAAACAATACTAATTTATAAAAAGCTATTTATGTAAAATTTCATTCTGATGGCTGAGACAGCAGTTCTAGTAGACCCACATTGGGTCTTTAAGATTTAGTTGGACTGTGATAATTTAGTCAGTGAATTGCAATTCAGTCCCAGACCCGCACACTCCAATAACTAGGACCCAGTAGGAGGCATGCAAGATACCTTTATTTTGATTTCCAAGCCTAGTCATTTGACTGTAGTGATCCTGGATTCTCTGGCTATAACAGGAAGTTCAGGAACACATGGTAACTTCCGGCCAGGCCCAGAATGACAGCACAGAGTTCCCAGTCTCACATCTTAGAGAAATCAGTGAACTGATAAAGGGGGTCTTCCTAAATTCTCTTGGGCCCTATGAAGAAGATATGTGTGTTTGGGAAAACTTGAGGATCATTTCTGGATGAGGGGGTGGGAGGTGGAAGGTGCTGTTTGCAGGTGGGGCTGAAAAAAACAGGATCTGTGAAATGCAAGTCAATGCACCACTCAGACTCTGAAAGTCGGGGAGTAAAAAGAAAGACGCATCTCAAGACATCATCCCCAGCTTTTGAACTAACTGATGTAACTTTAGCATTGCTCCATCTTTTCCCCACAAGCATTCTGTTTCCTCAGAGCTCAGCTCTGAACCTGATGGCAGGCGCTGGTCAGCGACCTGAGGGTGAAAGAGCGTGGATAAAAGATGTCTCTGGTACTTAAAAGAGGAAGATGATGCCCCGGATTGCCATTGGGGAAGTGCTGGGGATTGAACTCAGGGCCTCACGTACGCTAAACTCGCTCTCTAGCACTGAGGTACCCTCAGCCTTGGTCGGTTTGAAATAGGCCCATTTGTAACATCAGGAACTGAGCCTGGCGTCTTCAGCTTGCTGTCGACCACCCCAACTACCTCTCGAGCCCTCAGTCTTTTTACGCAAGCGCTTGCTAAACGGTCAAGCTCACCTTGAACTCACTCTGAAGCTTACGTGGATCTTTACACTTGCAATCCTTATGCTTCGGCTTCCAGAGTAGCTGGAGTACAGGCGCATACCATGGGACCCTACTTAAATTTATTTTTCTTATTTATTTATGAATTTATAATTTTTTTTTAGTGTTTGAGAGGGTGATGTATGTACAAACATGTTTCCTGGCACACCTTATAGAGGCCAGAGGACAACTTTTGGAAGCCAGTTCTCTCCTTCGACCGTAGGGGTTCTGGACACGAAACACATGTCAGCAGGCAGTTGAGCCACCTCACCAGCCCATTAAATATCCGCAATCTACATACCTGTCTTTACATCGTATTGTTCCGAGTTCACAGTCATTATATAGTGATGCACTTGGAGCCCTGAGCAGGGCGGGACAAGAGTGGTCCTAACCCTGACCTCATTCTCCCAGAATTCAGCGTTTCATTTGCCTTTCAGAGCTATGACTATGGCTTTGGCAGTGACACCGCAGGAAGATGTTGGCGGTAGATTTGGATGGCTCCCTCTTGAGGAGCAGTTTAATAAGCTGTCCCGTCCAAAGACACCCATTATGACTCTATCACCAATAAAGCAGAGAGAACGGGGCTAAAAATACATCCGATGGTGAGTGTGACTAATTTGGGGGTGTTTAATGCCACGTATCTCATAAAATGCGACCTATGTTAATATTGCATTCGGTGCAGTACATCTGTGAGTCAGTGTCCCCTCAGCTGGACGTCCCTGCTCCAGTGCCACCGTCCACCGGCTTCTTTTTAGAAAGTTAACAGGAAGGAAACCTCAATGCAGACATTTTAAGTCAGGAGTTCTTGTTTCTGAGGACTCACAAGTAAATGGAAGTCTACGAGGGATGTAGAAGCGAGCCGACATGAAGACATGCAATTCAGACAGCACAGGACAACACAAGCGTCCAACACAAGAGAGTCAACGCCACAGTCCTAGCGGGAAACCCAACATGAGCACATCTCTCCCAACGCAGTTGTCGGCTGTGGAGTCAGAATCATTGCGCTCACGACTATTCAGCTAAGATTCTGCTTCTGGAGAAGTGGGATTCCTAAGAAATGTTAGCGTGCTCAAAGTGCCAGAGTGGCACTGCAGTCTAACAAAGACGCAAACAGGGACCACTGTCTAAGTGAGGGATTAGCTTTGTACAAAAGATGCTGAACTTTACAAACGAAAGCAGCTCCGGCACTTGGGGTAGAGGAGCTGCAGGAAGAGATGGGGCAAAAACAAAAGGGAAGAAGAGGACGAGAGGCGATTCAAGAAAGGCAATAGAAGAAAAGGCTTGCCATGTGAAAGTGTCCCCCAGATTGTGAACAGAATCTCTGAAGTGAGGATTTGGATACATTTGGAAACCTGTTCACTGGTGAGTGAGCAGCTAGCTCATAGGTAGATCTTATGGCAAACAACAACAACAAAACAAAAAATAAACAGAATAAAACAACAAAATTTACTGGGCAAGAGCTATAACTAGGGTGAGAAACTTTGCTTTTTAGTCCTCTGTGCAGACGCTTTTTTGAGAACCAGCTAACCCGTCAACTTCCACCTCAAATAATGCGACTTTTCAGAGAAAGTTGCCTGTTGGTAACAGCACAGTTCATATGAATTTGGTGTGTCTGCCTGTTTGTACCGGGGATTGCAGCCAAGTCTACGCAGGCTTTGGCAGTGTACTGCCATTGAGCCACTGTTATTTTTGAGTCAGGGTCTCAATAAGTTGCTCGGGTTGTCCTTGAATTGCTCTATAGCCTAGGAAAGCCCCTAAATTTAGAACCCCCCGCCTCAAGCTCTCAGGTAGCTGGGATCGCGAGCCTAGCTTGGAGTTTGGTTGGTTTAAATATTTAATTGGTCAGACTTTGTTCTCATTAAACAAGAGGTGGGCGTAGGATGCATGGCTGGGGGGGGGGTGTCAGCAATCCCACCGCGGAGCCTCCTGGGGCCCTAGGGAGCACAGATGGCAGACCTTACCTGAGGTGACACAAGAGGCATGAAAGAGATGTGACACAGTTTGCTGGCCAGCAAATGGAATGGAGAGAGAAGGAAAGGTGTCACAGGTGCAAGAACAGAACACGCACGCGCGCGCTCACACACACACACCAGCCAGCAACTCTTCTGCTCATTCTTTCCGGGCTCTTTTGTCCAGCAACAGTGCAGGGAAGGTTACCTGAGTCTCCTAGAGTGAAATAAGAGAAGTAAAAAGAGAACAAGAGAGGAGACTCCTTGTTAGCATCCTTCGGTACAATTGCTCTTGGGTATTCGGTGAGCTTATTCTCAGTTTTAAGTTTGAAAACTTTCAGTTCTGGCTTCCACCTGACCCCATGACATTGGCTAGGTAAAACCAGCCATCATCCTTTTTGCTTTTTTTTTTTTTTTTTAAGAATATTGCTCATGGGACCACAGGATATGAACATTGGCATCATCACAATCTGCTGCTTGCATTTGATGAGTAACTGAGGCAAGAGACAGTTAGGGGATGTACCAAGGTCAGCGACCCCAAACTCAGCTTCTGACGTGTGCATAGGGTGTCTATGCGAAGGTCACCAAATCTGAAGAGTGGATTACAAACACAACTCTGACCACTGGGCAGTATCTGACTATGGCCCAGTTTCTTCAAGCATCTGATGGCTCCCCCCTTGCAATTTCCCACACTGAACCCCACCAGGAGCTCCTTTGGGGCCGACAGGAAACATCTTCAGAGCAGTATGGAGCACTGAAGCGAGACTCATGCTCAGTGTGTTGTCCGTTCTGACATGCTCACCAGAAGCCAGGCTGACAGGCTTGGTTGGCAGCTGAGATGCTTGGGCACCAGAGTGATGTGACTGTCTCACACGGAAGACTAAGCTTTGTCAAATTCAGAAGTAACATCCGAGCAATTTTTACTTAAGAGCACAAAAGCTGGCCAGCATGTAGGAGGAGGTGTCTTCTTAATAGGGGGCCGAGGGTGCAGCCAGAGGCATATTCATGCAGTTGGGTGGCTGAAGAACACTGAGGCAGAGTCAGGGAAAGAAGAGGAACGTTTTCTCTTCCACACAAACTGGCAGTCACTCAGACAGAGACCAAAAGCACACAACATACTGTGTGGAGAGGAACAAGTGCCAAGGGAAGGAGGTGGCGGGGATGGAGCTCAGCAAACCAGGTTCCCGTGAGGTCACAGATGGACGTTAAAAAGACCGTGGCAGGCAGAGACAGTCCTGCCCACCAGTGTACTCCTGGCGACCACTCAGTCTGATTCCAATGGCTTGGACACCAGGTCACCCAAACCATTTGATTTGACTGAACTTGAAAAAAACCAAGAGGTGAATGTACTAAGGTATCAAGAGGGAGTTTGGCCTGATGGTGACAGCGGAACTGTGGGCCTGCTCTAAGGCAAAGAGCTAAGGGCAAACATGCAGACACCATCACCATGTGACTTTGGTTTACCCTGGCGAACTTTTCTATATTTCCCATGAATTTTAGAGAAAGCACAGGCTACTTGTATAGTCAATCTTCATAAGATTTGTTTGCTTGCTTTTTACTACCACAAAGCAAACAAACCAAAAACACTAGAGGGGCACCACGAAGCATGCCGTCTATGAACACTGGAGGAGGGCTTGGGGTCTATTCTCGTCCCAGAGAGGGGCTGAATTTATAGTCCTCTGTCAGTCTCCACAAGCTTTGCTCGGCTTCATTTCAAAGGGCTAAGGGAGAGAGTCCTCCCACAGGGTCCTACTGCTGCCCATGGCAGCCGCCACAGGGCCACGCCACCATTCCAGATTCCGCAGTAAGGCAGGAAATACAGAAGTCGTGGTCAAGGGATCCCAAGGGTATTCTTTTTCTCTGTCAATCAGTTGCCTTGGGTAGCCTGAGTGCTCATGGGAGAGAGTGGGGCATAGAAAGGAAGGGGAGAGATCTACTGGTAGAGGAAGGGGTGACCAAGATCCTTGTGTGCATACTAGAAGGCAAATGCTACTGACCTGATGCAGTATTAAGAAGGGGTGGGGGTACGTACGGTTCAGTGGGAAAGCCTCCGCATAGCGTACGCAAGCGCTTGGTTCCAAGCCCCAGCACTGAGAAACAAACTCACACTTACTTCCTAATTCTCATAAGGACAGAGAGGGCATTAACAGCAACAGCTGCCTTGTGAGCTTGCATCTTTTCTTGGATGGCTAGGTGGAGAGAGGCCTCAAGACCGCAGGAAAGGGATGCATGCAGCAGACAAGTCAAACGGCCAGTGATGTTTTCTGAAGTCAACAACATTCAACGCAATGCCTGTGTTCATCTGACCTTTGTACTGAGTCTCCAGTTTAATCAATGTTACATATGTGCCTGGAGTTCCCAGGTAAACACACTTTCCCCTCTTCTGGGTCTCTTGCTAAAACAAAGGTTTCTGACCATGGTTATCTTTTGACCATCCCAAATATAACATGGCTGGTAGGAGAATAAACTTTTGGTAGTGGAAATAACTATGGGGCTGAGTCTAAAAAGATGAGCTGGAGCCTCTGAAGGGGACTGGACGCCCCTCCAGGGCTGCGGTCTTCCTAATGACCATATCCTACATGCCGAGAATTCAGTTGAACCCCACATTTGTTTCCCGATGAAAACCTGGCTTGCTCTCCGCATCCCCCAGACTCGCACAGATCTTGAGTACCTCCATGAGAAATGACTCTCCTGTAGGGTTCGATGACCTTCATGTCAATCCGCTGCTCCTGCTCTCCAATCACCACCGTTCTCCACAGCCGGTTGTCTTCTCGCTCCTCTTCGGCTGTGTACTCTGGAATAGACTCTGACTCCTGACCAGAGCTTTTGTTGGCTGTGGCGTCTTCTGGAAGGGAAGCACAGAGCGGGATTGAAGCAGCAAGACTTCCACAGGAGAAGCAGGTTAGAGAGCGGATTGGAAGCCACCTCCTCCCGCAGAGTCACCGGCTGGAGCTGCGTGCTAGGAATGGTTTGTTAGAGTCGGACAGCAGCCTGACCATACAACACCTACCTTACAGACTGAGGGAAGAACCAACTCCTTTCCTAAGCGCATGTTGAAGCAGGAACAGTCGAGGTTAGGGTTCTGGTACCAACTCATCCTTGGTCAGACAGGTTAAACACTATAGCTCTTTCTGGTAGGGTGATAAATCAGGACCAGATAGACACCTTTAGCTTGCTGAGGCCATCTCCCCTGGTTGCCAGCTGGTTGCTGGGATTATTTGAGTGCTTTTACTTAATGACACTACCTCTTAGATCTGTTGTAAAACTCTAAGAACAGGGATGAAACCCCTTGTACTGTTGTGAAACTAGGGCACATGCTCGTACAGAAGGCCAATAATATGTCCCACACATTGTTCCAGAATATGCCAGAGTAAAGATTATACACTGCATGGGAAACAAACAACTTTGTAGACTGGAAATTTCCTGACAGCTTTGAAACTTTTGGGTTCATGAAACAACAATAACAACATAAAGCCCCACTGAGTATTCTTTGGTCAAAGTTTATTCTTATGCATTCAAAATAATAACCATGTTCACTAAAAGGCTAGGCTGCAAGTGTTAACCATTTCTAGTAGAGGCACTGATGAACCTTAGCAAGGGGTGTTCTTCACAGCGCCATACAATCCGAAGGGAAAGATGATTTATTACCTTCCCTGTGACTCCGAGATAAGGCTATTCTTATTTCCACATTGTGGGAAAAGACCATTTAAATGTCACTGTTCTTTGCCTTAGTTCCTCCTGTGTCATAGTGACAAGGACAGCAGGGTTGTGTCTCTCACCCACTGGTACCGGCACGGCAGTAGATGTTAAAATGGACATTACAGCAATGTGGATATTGGTAACAAAGCTAGCAACAAATACAGCTGATGCTTGCACCTCTGCAAACTATCCTAAACTACCGATGTGCCTTGAATGCGACTCCCAGTTTGAAGAGCCCGTGAGCTCCTGGGCTCCTGGGGCTAGGGAACTCTGTCTAAATCACCTTTAATATTCACCTCACTGACATGTTCCACAGTTAGCGTAGAAATCTCCTCAGAATATGCAAACTCCAGGAAGGTGAGTGGGTAAATGCAGGAAAGCTTGAGCAAGCTCTTGAGAGTCTATAAGGACCCACAACACAACACTGCATCCTGCTGGGAGATTCGGCAGTCACTAAACACCCACAAGTACCTAATTATTGAGGACTCAGAATCGGAAACTTTAGTTCAGCTGGGAAGCAGCCTGGCCTTCTTTGCCAATAGTAACAGCCACACCACCCACACAGCCCTGGCTCATTTTGGTTCCACTATGGTCCCAGCAGCACTCAGCAGCTTGTTAAGGATGGAAGGCAGCAACCATGGCTTCTGATCAAGCACCATGTCACCTGGGCAGACCTACTGATTTGTCTGGCACTTCTTCCTTCTTCATTCTTTCTGCTTGGGTTGGGAAACTTAGCTACTAATCTCAGCTCTCTTGGGCTCCATATTTCTCATCTTGTCCCTGATACCTAAGAACTCTGGGCTCAGACATAGTATATCTTCTGATGTTCATGTACACATGTGCCATTGACATCAGTAAACTCACAACTCTCCAAACCCTCCATGAACTTCCATGCATCTAATGTTCAGTGAACACAACACTTGCCAAAGTTGCTACAGTATGTTTGGTAATTCAGCCTGCTCTAGTTTATCCCTGGTAATCTTTGTAGGGTGATAGTGAGGGGGTGTTATGTATCTATATCATATATATACATATACATATATATTCTGCATGATATATACATACACATGATATATACACGGTATACATATACATAATGTACATATTTCCCACACATGCCGTGGGATAATGCTCTTGTACACTGTAAAGATTTGTCACTCGTATTAGTTTAATAAAATGCTAATTGGTCAGTAGCCAGGCAGGAAGTACAGGCGGGGTGACCAGACTAAGAGAATTCTGAGAAGAGGAAAGGCAGAGAGTCAGTCACCAGCTAGATGCAGAGGAAGCAACATGAGAATGCCTTATTGAGAAAAGGTACCAAGCCATGTGGCTGAATATAGATAAGAAATATGGGCTAATTTAAGTTGTAGGAGCTAGTTAGTAATAAGCTTGCAATTTATAATTAATATAAGTCTCTGTGTTTCTTTGGGACTGAACAGCTGCAGGATTGGGCAGGACAGAAGCTTCTGTCTACACACATATATATGTATACATGTATACACATATAGACTCAAACCTGCATCTACTCACATATTAGCTAAAATTGGATCATATACCTAATGTAAAATGAGCAAGCCATAAAACTCCCAGAGGACAATGTAAGAGAAAATCTAACTGACCTGGACATAGAGACGGTATTTATATATGTATGTATTTGTTTGTTTGTTTGTTTTATCAGGGCTTGCCATGCTACCTGGGCTGCTGTAGAGCTTATGGGCACAAGCATGCCTCCTACCTCAGCCCCCTGAATAGCTGGGCCTGAAGGTATGAGCCACCAGGCCTGGGTCTGCAACTGGTGACTTTTTAGAAACAACACTAAATTCACGGAATAAGTAATTGACAAACTAGACTGTGTTAAAGTTGACAACACGCTCCATGAAAGACAGCACCAAGAGAAAAAGAAGGTAGCTACAGACTAGGAGAGTGTATTTATAGAGTGCAAGTCTGCTAAATGATTATTATCTGGAATACACAAAAATGTTTAAGACTTAATAAGAAAATAAACTATTTGATTAGCGATTAAGTGGTACAATGGTGTTGGGGGTTGTACCTCAGTAGGAGAGTGTTTTCCTACTATGTACAGGGCTGTGTTCGGTTCCTAGCAACACACACACACATGCACATCCACACATCCACATACACACAGACTTACAAAAGAACTGAGCACACGTCACCTCATCAGTGGAGGTACAGATACCAAGGAAGCATAAGAAAAGATGTATGACATCATTTATCAACAGCATTTTTAAAGATGACACAACAGTGAATTATTGCTATGAATAAACTACTATTTCAAAGGCCAAATCCAAAACACTGACAAGCAGCAAACTCGTGAGAATACAGCACACTAGGGACGCTCGTGTGTTGACAGAGGGGATGGAAATGTTCCAGGAACTTTGAAAGACAGTTTGGAAGTTTCTCATTAATAAGCTCCTATTAATACAAAGTCCAGCTCCTTTGCGATTAGCTAACAGAGAGGGTATTTCCAGATAGAAATCTTCATGAGTAGCCCCATTCATACTTGCCAAAACATCGAAGCAACCAAGATGTCTGCACAGGCACACACACACATGGGCACACACACAGGCACACCCATGCACATTTTCCTATTGTTTCTTGTTCAAAGGTGCATGATTATTCCCTTGGTATAAAAGTTCAGAACCAGATTGTTTTTGCGGTGTTAGTCCTAATGTTTCAGAATTTGGGAACTGATACACCGCTGTGCTTCCATCTACTTCCTTTCTCGTTGACATAAAAAAAGAATCATTTAAGAAACAGGGGGAAGGGATGTGGTTCAGAAGCAGAATGATTGCCCAGCATGGGGATGGCAGGGGAAGAATGGCAGGGTTGTGGGGGAGGAAAAGGAGAAGAAGAAGAAAAGGCGATAGATGGAGGACAGGAGAGGGATAGAAGGAAGGAACATCAGCATTAGAAGAATATAAGAAAAGGAGAAAAAGAGAGGGAGGGAGGGAGGGAGGGAGGGAGGGAGGGAGGGAGGGAGGGAGGGAGGGAAGGAGGAGAACAATCTTCAGATCACTTTAATGACTTGTTCGTGTCACGAAACCGATAACACAAGTCAGTAGGCAGTAAAGATGCTCTCTTCAGCCCACTGAGCTAGCAGTACCTTCCTGATCTTAATAATTCTGTTATAACTTTATGAGCCCTATCTTTATTTCCCAGCTATTGCAGATGTGTTCAGAGCTTATCTACCTCTCCCCAGGTCCTTCACATCAGTCCTCAGCATCATCTTCTTCTCTTCACTAAGAAGTTGTCCTCAGACAGTTAGATCTTCACAAGGGAGGCGTCAACCTCACCTTTTCCTCCTGGCTTCCTGAGATGACTTAACACAGGCACTCTTGAATGCTCTGACCACAGTGTGTGGGCTCAGCGTGGTCTTCCCATGGGAGCACACACCTGGGAAAGCTGGCTGGCTTTCTACATCATGACACCTCACAGATGACCGGGAAGCTGTCAGAAAGTAAGATGCCTGACATTTTCTGGTTTTAGCAAAGACATCCAGTACACAGCTTCAGAGGTTAAAGTGCCCCTGGTGATAAACAACAGACAGGAAGTTAATTTGGGTGTAAAATCTCAGTATAGGGGTTAGAGAGATGGTTGGGCAGTTAAGAGTGCGTATTGCTCTTATGGAGAAGACCCAGGTTTGGTCTTGTCAGTAGGTTCACAAGCACCTGTAACAACAGCTCCAGGGGATCTGTCTACCTCTCTGGGACTTCACTGGCGTCTCTGTACATGGATGTACATATTCACATGTACACGCGCAGAGGGACAATTGATTTAAAAAATGATAAAAATAAATCTTCTAGGAAATCTCAGTGTACAAGAATACAAAGGAAAAATATTGTTTCAGATATACAAGCTTAACACATCATCACTTGCACGCTGAGCACGAAAACAAGAACTTGACTTCATAAAGCTGGCTGCCTGTTGGTGCTGAGAAGAAGGGATGCTGAAAGGTTTGACTCTGACCGATTGAGAGGATGCTGGCGTGCCTGTCAGCCAGAATACTGTCATCAGTATTAGAAAAGCTTCTTAGGTGGGGTCACCAAATATCACTTGGGGACCCTGATAGTCTAAAAGCATAGACACTTCGTCTTTGATGGTGTTGTCTTATCAGAAACACATAGGTCAAATTCTTTTCCGTCTTTCCATGCCCATGATAAAGAGACTTCATCATGCCTGAGTTAGCTCTGGATTGTGAGAAAAGTTACAGTTGGTGTGGAAAACAGAAAGAGGCCATCATTTCCTTCTCAATCTTTGAGTATTTTGTTTCTATGGTTGGTATCATGAAGCAATGAAAGCAAAATCAAGATTGCCCTTCATATGAACGACTAACCCCCAAGCCCTTCATTATCCATGTAATTCTGATTTTGTTGGCACAAAAATCAAGCCTTAATTATATTTCCCAACTGTTTGGACACAGCTATAAATTAAAACTGATTGCAGGGGAACAAGTTGCATCTTTTGATAGAGAGATTAAACTGTTTTTCCATAAGCAAACTGGCAATGTTAGGCAAATTCCCTGGAAAAGTATTTGGCTATCAGTTACTAAATAAAAGAGGGAATAGGTGTAAAAATACAGGTTCTCAAATCAACAATGTGACCTATGGAAGTACACATGTTGTGGTAGTTTTAATGCAATTGGCCCCCATAAGCTCTAGGGAGTGGCACTATTAGGAGGTGTGACTTTGCTATAGTAGGTATGGCATTGTTGAACTCAAAGCCCATGTGGGGGCGGGCTTTGAGTTTTCATGTATGCTCAAGTTATGCTCAGTGCTCAGACCACTTCCTGTTGCTTGAGGGTCAAAATGTAGGACTCTCAACTCCTTTTCCAGTACCACGTCTCCCTGCAAGCCACCATGTCACACCACGATAATGGACTAAACCTCTGAAACTGTATGCCACCCCATTAAACATTTGTCCTTTGTATGAGTTGCACCAACCATACCATCTCTTCACAGCAATAGAAACCCTCACTAAGGCATGCATGAGCTTTCACCCTTGCTTTTCTGTACACAGGCTCAGTTTAGGAAAAGGTGCCCTCTCTTTTTACTCCTCAACCTATCCGGTAGGGATGCAGCAGGAGCAGGAAGTCAACACAAGGCTTAATTTGAATGTTGTCGCACCCCTTACAGATGTACAATTTTAGGTGATTGTGCAACCTCTCTGTGTCTCTGTGTTTTACAGAGTAGACATGAGGCCTACAATAATTATCCCTACAATACTTGGGATAGATGCTACACATTCCAGTAAAAACTACAAAAGTGTCCTTTCAGTAACATAAAATATGACCAATTTTAGCCAGGCGGTGGTGGCGTATGCCTTTAATCCGAGCACTTGGGAGACAGAGGCAGGCAGATCTCTGTGAGTTTGAGGCCAGCCTGTTCTACAAGAGCTAGATCCAGGATGGGCTCTAAAGCTACAAAGAAACCCTGTCTCAAAAAACAAAAGCAGACAAACAAAATTATGACCAATTTTGAAAACCTGTACTCAAAGTATCTGACAGGCAGACTGGCAATTTGCCTGTTATCCTATCACTTGACCTTTTCTTGAAAAACAAAATAAAACAAAAGTAAACCCAAACCCAGGAGGAATTAAAAAAACAAACACTCCCCTTTAGGATGTATGATATGCTGGCCTCAATATTCTTACTTGAAAAACTCCCAAGACACGAAGATTGTAAGCACTTACTTCATACACTAGGTCTAAAATGTATTTCTATTCTTATTTTCCTCTGCAGTGGTTATCCATGTCTCTGTACAGAATATAGCTACTCACACAAACTCTGTGTTTCTCATAGTTCCTGCTTTGGCTTCCTTATTTGTTTGTGTAAGTGCTTGGATACACGCACCTTTCGCTTGAGATCAAAGTGAATTTTAGAATTCAACAGACATTAAAATCTGGCTTTCTGAGTAAGACCTAGAATAACTGAGGTCATTAAGCTGCCTCTTCCCACATGACTATATCAACTACCTAAAAAGAGCTATGTCAGCAAGTGGCAGCCTTAATTACTGGCCTGCTCCGACACCACCACTTGGCTTGACAGATTTACTATTTATAAATAAGAGGCTCAGAGGCGGTGTGACAAAGCTCTCCCTAGAGACAGCAGAGCAAAAGGCAAGGGGAGGGAGGGGCCAGCCATAGCCATCCTCAGTATGGTTCCAAGTCAGTATATTAGCCCGAGAAGAGCTGGGACCACAGGGGGAAACGGGACTAGATGGAGGGGTGAGAGGAGGTGGGATGACTCTGGGGTGGCAGGGAAAGATACCAATTCGAGATATTCTTTTACTTTATGTTTGTGTAGTTTTAATGGTCAGATCAAATATCTGGATTATTACAATCAGCTCCCAACATCAGTAGATTCAACCGTCTGCAGGTAGAAGGTACATGGGGGAAACTTGCATTTGTATTGAATGTGCACAGAAGTTTTCATTTTCATTATTCCCTAAAATACACGTTTATGTCATATTAGATACTGTGATTAGTCTAGAAATGCTTTAAAGTATGTGGAGGAGGTATGTGGGTTACATGCAAATGCATATACATGTAAGGGGCTTGAATAGCCTTAGATATCGGTGTCTGTTTGGGGTCTTGGAACCTATCCACTGCAGGCCACATGTGTGAAGAACCCTACAGAAACCCATGAGTGGACAAAAATGTAGCATAACTCGATGTATGCACAATAAGATGGCAATGGTCCTGTACCTACTTCTACTATTCTTCTTCTTTTTTATAACTTGCGGGAACAAAAGCTTAACCTATGTCAATCTACAAAGGTTCTGGATGTTTTCCCCATGGCTCAATGACGTTGGGATGACTTAATCAGCTAACTGGTGGATTTCCCAACCATATTCTCCCGTGAATGGGATTTCCTGTGTCTAAAAGCCTGAGCATCCTTTAACCGCAGTGTGTCTTTGTAAGACCAGAAGAGCCTTTTCAACAAGGAGGAGTAGTTAGAGCCAAAAGTCTCACTTTGACTTTCAACTACAATTCCAGGAAAACTTCCTGGCTCTAAGTGGAACTAAACAGCAGTGCTGCTAGAGGAAGCAAGGGCTCTGTATCTGTCGGCTCTTCTGAATAACCAAGTGCCACCAAGCAGGAGAAGGGATCTGCAGGAGACCAGCACGTCTGTCATGGCTGATGGTCCCGAATCTGGCAACCTTTCATTGCCTTGTTTTTACCTCCATCAGCCCACACCATCCCTTCTTCCTTCTTTTGGTTTGAAGATACAGCATCAATCACCATGGAGTCTCTTCCCTGAGGAAGCATGCATTCTAGTGGGGGACAATCCAGTAAGCATCTCAATCAGATAAGCAAGCAAATCACTAAATAACAGTTTTAACAAGGGATGTGCAGACAGTAAAGGGACCCTGGCATGGAGTGTGAGGAGCTGGGGGTACACAAGTGGGGCACATCTGTCACAGCACGAGTCTTGGAAGGCCTAGGAGGAGGTGGCACCTGTGGAGAGATGTAACTGGCCATGGAAGGGTCTAAGGGAGTGAGCATTTTAGACAGCGAGAGTGTATATAAAGGAATAGGTTACTGATTCCTTCTCTTTAAATTTGGCGTTCCAGATTCCAAGTCTCTTTCTTTGTCCACACCGCTTCAGTTTTCCTATAACAGTGCAGGACATAGTGTAGGGATTTCACAAATGGGTAAGAGTTGCCAACGAGTAGCCTCTGGGGACCCAACCTACTCCATCATACTCTAAACTGCCAAGCACGGACATCCCAGAGCAAGGTTCAAAAGAGGCTTGAGAGTCACGGAAAGTAGCCACTTGCACAAAAATGAAAGATTTGTTTGTAATGTTACAAAGACAACTGTTTATTTACATAACTTTGGCCTCATTACCTCAGCAACTTACCATGGCCAGTGTACTCAAAAGAATCTGCTTCATCGGGGGTATCGAGGTCATCCACATTGATGTCAATCTCATCTGGACTGTCCAGGTTATCATCAGAGAGAATCGATCCTTCACTTTGGTCCAGAGAAAGGTTGATATTTGGGGCTGTGAGCTTGATTCTCCGAGAGTGACTGCCATTGAGATCCAGGGAATTTGGAGGTTCTAAAGAAGAAAGTAATAGCAACATTAGATCACACACGTGGCTCTCAAGAGGGGAACTGGACTCAAGGGAAAAAAATCCTACCTCAATATATCCCTTATGTCCTTCCTTCCTTGTTTGTTTTATAACACAGAATCTCATACGTAGCTCAGGCTGGCCTTGAACTTGCAACCTCACCCCCCCCCCCCCAGTCCTGGGATATAGGTGTGAGCCATTTGGATACTTTTTCTAAATTGATGTGTATATGTATATTACATGTGTAGGTGCCAGAAGATGGCCTCAGACCTCCCTGGAGCTGGAATTACAGGTGGTTATAAGCCACCCAACATAGGTGCTAGGACTTAAACTCTGGCTCTCTCGATAAGCAGGAAGTCCTTCAACTGCTGAGCCATCTCTCAAGCCCCCTCTTCCTGGACTCTCTTCTAGAAAGCGTCCCTCAGTGTTGGCTTCCATTCAGCATCTCATCCGTATGAAAGCAGGACTTGGGAGATGCTGCTATCTGGGTAGGGACTTTGGTTTTTTCCCCTGTTTTGTTTCTCTGTTTAGGTTTTAGAAGTCAGTATGCTAGAACACTAAGCTAAATTTTATGGAGTTTATTGTACACCAAAACAGTTAAGCATATATATTTTCTTATGGTTCTTGTAGATGTTATTACTGTAGAATGGAGGTTAAGAACATTGATCTACTAAATTCTCAGAAAATGCCAAAACAACTACATTATCTTCAATAAACTTTACTGTTTTTAATTTTTTAAAGCCTTAAGCCCATTAGTTAGATTCTTTGGACTCACCAAGGAAGTCACTACATAAGCCAATATCACCCTACATCACTGTCTTTAACATTCACAATGACCTAGGCTAAGGCTGACAGAGGCAGCTCCCACCCTCTCTTAGCAGCGTGTCTTTGCTCACGAGCTTTTATTGGCTCAAAACAGAGTTGAGCCAGTCCTTTTTGTACAAGCTTATCTGAACCAAACACAGAAAGAGATATCTATTGTGATCTAAGGGGAAATAGTTGGTCTTTATCTCTGGTCCCAATCATTCTGGCTCCTAAATTCCTTGGAATTTCCCTGGCATCCCTATTTGGATTACACTGATTTGAAGGACTGGATCTGAACATCTCTGCTGGGTTCTGCAGTAGTAGATGGACTGTCTATTGTGCATGGGACCCTGGATTCCATCCTCTTCCACCACACACAAAAAACAAAACAAAAACAAACAAACAAACAAAAACCAGAACGATCACAGAACCCTTGAGTCATGTCTGCTGACTGACACTTTGGTCAGGACATTAGAATACTAGGAGGGGGTGGGTCTTTCTTTCCTCCCTGCCTTCAGAAAAAAAAGCACAAACATCAAAACATCTACAGAACAATGTCAAAACGGAATGGTGAGGGCACTGTAGGGTGTTCACATGCTATTAGTCCATTCAAGCAAATCGGGGTGCAGGAACGTGAACTTTCAAATCCAACCAAGTCTGAAAATGCCCCTAACATCCTTGAATGAGTGCAGTAGCCTCAACTGTCACAAAATGGCAGGAGAACGTTTTACTTGTACTTAGGCCCAGCCATCTGATGCACATACTCTGACTGTGGATAGGCTAAGGTGATGGCCTTTCCGATGCCGATCCTCTTCCTTTGCATGTAACTTTAGAATGTCCGTTGTCTACAGCTTCTGCTTTTCAGTGCCCCTGTACCATCTGAGCTTCTGTGGAGCACTCTGTCCTCTTGTTTTCCAAACACGTCATTCCCAAGACACCAGATAAAGTTATTTGCTTTTACAGTTTCTGATTTTGCTTTGATTGGCATTACATGGTGTCAGATGGAGTCTGAAGTGGTTCACACGCCCCCTGTACCCTTGGGCTGCCAAGGTCATAACATGCCCCGAGGTCTTTTGTTTTGTATTAGTTCCCTGGTAACTTTACATCACATGACTCCCTTCTGCTACCAAACTTCCTATGTCTTTGATTAAGGTTCCAAAACTTTATTTGGGTTGTTGCCTGTGGCTTAAGAAGAAAAATCTCTTGGCTAGGTACCTAGTGCAGGCACCCCTCATGTGGTGGGAATTTGGACTTTTACAAAGGGGAAATTTTTAAAAATATTTATTTTATGCAGTGTATATGAATGCTTTTTGTCTGTTATGTATATGGGTACACCATGTTTGTACAGTACCCTCAGATGCCAGAAGAGGGCCTTGGATCTCTTGGAACAGGAGTTGTGGTTGTGAGTTGCTGTGTGGGTGCTGGCAGCCGAACCTGGATGCTCTGGTGTTACAGGCCAAGGCAGTTTCTTTATTCATTAATGCTAATCACAGCATACAGAGGGGACTCCCACATCACTCTGGAAGAGCAGCCAGTCCTCAAAACCACTCAGTCATCTCTACAGTCCCAGAAAGGTAACTTTTACATTGCCTTACGGTTGTGGTTTGAATGAGAAATGCCCCCACTGGCTCATGTATTTGAGCACTTGGGGTGGTACTGTTTGGGGTAGATTACAAAAGTTTTAGAAGGTGCAGCCTCGCTGGAAGAAGTACTTCTCTGGAGGTAGGTTTTAAGGGCTGGTAGCCTTGCCCCATTTCTTATTTTTTTTCTGCTTCTTGTGTGGTTGGTGGAGATGTGATCTCTCAGCTTCTTGTTTTTACTGCCAAGCCTTCCCCACCTCCTGAACACGGAGTCCTCTGGAATGGCTTGGTCACATTATTTTATCAGAGCAGCAGCAACAAGAAGAGAAACTAAAACAGAAGTTGGCACCAGGCGTGGGGTCTTGCCCCAAGGGTAGCCTTTCTATTGTTTCAGTGCTGAGCAGGCAGGAAGCCTCTCCTTAGCAGCCTTTATCTCTTTAGCAAATACAGGCCCTTCTGCACCTATCTTGGGGAAAGTATCAAGCTTCCTAGTGTTCTTTCTTTCTGCACCACTTGCTTTTTTCCCACTGTAGATCTGCATAAGAATAATCAATAAGTAACAAGGCCTCAGCCGCTGTTATTTCAAGAACATTTCTTCCACCAAAGAAAGTAGCCATTACTTTTTCATTTGTCCTCATGCAAAAGCCAGATCCTTTTGGAAAACAGTGCAGTTGCTAATAAAGTCCTTGCTCCCCAACTTGAAACCTCTTGAGCCCGGCCTCCATCCTCCCCATTAGTCTCAACACTGCTGTCTTCCAGGCTCCTACTCAAAATGGCTCTTCAAGCTCTGCTCACAGCATTCCGTGGCTTTTGCCAACTTCCGAACTCTTCCGGAACCTGGCACCAAAAAGTCTATTATCATTAAAGTGAAATCTTCCAGAAGGTATTGCCTCAACATCAGCACCCAGATGTGGTCTGGGGTTCAGAGTTGCATCTCAAGCTAGAAGTCTAATTGGGAAGTATGTTAAGAATGGCAGGCAGTACATGGCATGATTTTGAAGGCAGAAAGGGTTATAATTTGTTTATTTGCTTGTTTGTTTATCTTTACAGGAGCCCACAGTTAAAATATGTTGGCTTTCAGAACTGTTTCACAGAGAAACTCTGTCTCAGAAAATAAAATAGTAAAAATAAAAATAAAGTAAAAAACCGTTTTTTTAAAAAAAAAATTTAAAAGACTTTCTTTAAAGTGTTGACAATGTTAACGACTGTGGGACTTTTAGAGTTGTACTATATTTTATATTTTGGTATTAACATGAGGTTTTGGGTTAAATAAGAAAGGGAATGGGTATGGCTTAAAGTGTGTTTGAGTATCAAGCTGACAAGGAACAGAATCTCTTATCTGCTGATGACCTATCAGCAGAGCCTGTTATCTTATCTGAGGGAGTCTTAACTGTGAGATTATCCCGATAAACAGGTCTGTGGGCATGGCTGAGGGACATTTTCTTGACGTAGGAGGGCTCAGTGCACTGTGGACCACTCTGAGGCAGGGATTCTTGGGCTATATATAAGAAAGCTATGTAACAGGCACCTAAGCAGCAATCCAGTAGGCAACATTCCTCATGAGACTCTTTCTGTTTGTACTTGGGCTCCTGTCCTAACTCCCCTTCATGATGTGAGTGACCCGAAAGTGTAAGCCAAATAAACCTCCTCCTTGCCAAGTAGCTTTCATACAAGGTGTTTATCACAGCCACAGGAAGCAAACAGGATGGGCAACTGCTACCCTAAGAAGGCCACCGAACAGTCACTAGTACAGAAATACAGGTTCTCTTACAGCTAAGCCATGGGTCCTCATCTTGAAGATTTCTGACTTGAACAGATTAAAATTCCTCTTGATGGTTTGAAACTAGAATGCATTCTTTGAAGCTCTGGCTATTCCAGAATGAGTTTTCCATGTACTCAATTAGTACAGAGTTATAAAAACAAGCAACTTAAGCAGCAAGCACACTCTCTCAAGCGCCCTCCTTCCCCACTGCTGACCCTTCCCTGAGCTTCCTTGCTAAGATATGAAATTTGAGCACCATCAAAGATTCGACTGTAGAGGTTGAGGGATGTATCTCAGTGGCATGGTGCTTGGCTAGCATGAATGAAGCCCCAGGTTCAGGTGCCAATACTCTCTGTCCCCAACAAGAAATCACTCTGTCTGACTCAATAACCTTTTTAAAAGCCAGGTTTAATACAATAATGTTAAAACCTTCTGTCTCAGATAAAGGTTGAACTACATGCTGTCGCTGATGAATCCCTGGTGTTGAGACATAAACAACTGGATTGCTTGACAGTTTGAGCTTTCAATGATGACACAACAGCCTTGCTTTGGGGAACTGTATCACTCAGTTTACTTACTTGAAGAAGACAGGGCAAAGCGATGTATTGCATTTGGACCTTGGAGTGACTTTAGCACAGATATCTGAGGACTAAGTGCTAACTAAAGGCCAAACAGATGTTCAAACATAAGCCTGAAGTTTGCTAAACAAAATTCCACTCTCTTGCCCCCAAAGCTTGACTGGCACACATCCTAAGTTACTCAGTGGCCTCACATGCCCGTTGAGGACCACAGCTTGCTAAGTAAACATTCTTCCAAAACTCTGGCCTTAATCTTCTAACAGACATAGTCAATAGTTGACTGAATTCTACTTTCTGAGCTCATCTGCTGAAAAATTAAGCACTTTAGTTAAACAGCACTTCCAGACCGAGAAAAACCCTCATAAATTAACTGCCTTAGCCGAATCACTGTCCCAAACTCTTGCTAACAATACCCAAGGAGCATGCTACTAAAGTTCTGGACCGCTAAAGTTCAGGCTAATCGGCTTATAAACCTCCAGAGGAAAGCATTATCTCCGAAATCAACCCCTTCGCTTCTTCCCCAGGGCATTTGTGATTCATAGACCATAAATCAAATTCTTCATTGTCTTAAATATATCTTATATTTGCATATGACACCATAATCACCATTAAATATGCATATCAAGAACCTCAGGATGACTTTAATCTGCCGCAGAAAGAAACCATTCTTCAGTTATGACATGGATACATACACTTTATCTGAGTCAACCACAAGAGGTCATCACTGTGGGTGGTGTCACCCAAACCCTAGTTTTCTATGGTGACCTTATAGGCCTCTGGTTAGCTCAGGACTGACGAGTCTGCAGAAGCAATCTTTTGCCCTAACTTCCCCTCAAATGACTGAACCGTCTCTGAATGCAGCAGACGGTGTGACCCTCCTCCAGTATTAGCCCTACTAGCATTCCACTCTTAAGGGACAGGTGGGTGGATTCAGGATTGTAGTGATGCAAGCATTTACTTACTGAATGTCCCTTCTTTGGGGTTGGTAAGCATAATTGTCACATGGAGGCATTATTTAACTTCATGCAACAAACCTTAAGTGGTGGAAATAGTAAAATGTAAATAGCTGGTAAATACTGAAACGTCCTTAATGTGGAAAACAGACTCACAAAAACACTTGGTGCTTGGTATTCTGTTTGCTTCTCAAGGAGGCATTGCTATTAAAACAGATTGCTGTTCATATACACCTAAAAAATCATTTATTGACCACTGTTCTTGCTAGTTTTTATGTCAACCTGACACAGATGAATCATTGTTGAAAAAATATTTTTCTTAATTAGTGACTTGCTGTGGGACAAAGGTCTTGTACCCTGTAAAGATTTGTCACTTGTACTGATTTAATAAAATGCTGATTGGTCAGTAGCCAGGCAGGAAGTATAGGCAGGGTGATCAGAAAAGGAGAATTCTGGGAAGAGGAAAGGCTCAGTCTGCAGTCGTCACCGAGACACAGAGGAAGCAAGATGGAAATGTCTCACTGATAAAAGGTATCAAGCCGCATGGCTAACACAGACAAGAATTTTGGGTTAAGATGTAAGAGTTAGTTAATAAGAAGCCTGAGCTAATAGGCCAACCAGTTTATAATTAATGTAGGCCTCCATGTGTTTTTTGGGGGACTGAATGGCTGTAGGACCTGGAGGGACAGACAGCTCTGCCAATCATGACTGATGTGGGAAGGCCCAGCCTGTTGTGGAAGGTGTGCCCCCCCACCCCCAGATAACTGGTCCTAGATGTGTAAGAAAGCAGGCGGAACAAACTGTGGAAGCAAAACTAGCAGCATTTCCCCATGGCCTCTTCTTCAGTTCCTGCCTCCAGGTTGCAGTTGCGGCTTGAGTTCCTCTCACAGATTTCGTGGAATGCTGGACTATGACCTGAGAGTTGCAAGCCTGAATAAATCCTTCCTCCTGAAGTTGTTTTGGTCATGTTGTTGTTGTTGCTTGTTTGTTTTTGTGATAGGATCTCTTTCTGTAGCCCTGGAGGTCCTGGCACTCACTCTGTAGACCAGGCTGGCCTCAAACTCAGAGATCTGCTTGTTTCTGCCTCCCAAGCACTGAGATTAAAGGTGTGCACCACAATTCCTAGCTAGTCATGGTATTTCATCACAAAATATAGAAACCCTAATTAAGGAACCTACTTAGAAAAAGTTACCCAAAATTGATGCTTTAAGTGACCCTGAACCTAGCCCAGGAGAACTGTTAAAGGGGTGTTTGGATCTGGTTCCAACTGGCTAAAATCTAGTTCTATTGTTACTGGCATTTTAAAAAGAGTTAATACTATATATAATTCATTGCTTAGTTACTTCTTTGCCCAGGGTAATAATCCCATGCTGGTTACAATAATCTTAACTGAGAAACGGTTTCAGGTTATTGCTTCTGCCCTATCCCTGACTGCAATTTTGTTACTTAGTGTGGCTCTGTCACATCTTCTCTCCTTTGTGGGACAAACCTTCCTGGGAATGAGGCATTCCAGCTGTAAGGGACTAAATGAATATAAAATTGACAAATTGTGTGTGTTTTAATGATGGGCATCCTAGCATTGGGGTAACTTTTCTGCACCAATTATCATTCTTTTCTTGTAACACACTATTTGGGGGACCCACTCAGACCCATCTGAACCTTGGGGAGAATTCAGAACTACAGTTTGCAATGTTACACTTCCAGTTTCAGAGTCTGAACTGATCAACACCCATGCTGTGCACCTTATCATTAAACCAGACATCTTTGGCCTAATTTATAATACCGCCTGTATTAACACACTAGGAAAAAGTAGCATGTCTCCATGAGTTCTACAAGCTGTCCCTGAGGAGGGAGGGGGATGTTAAAGTCCACTTTATAGCCAATTGGTCAGAGCACAGGTCTAACCTGAGCCTATAATTGGTGACTACGTGGGAACTGTCTTGTGGGACTGAGCCCTTAAACCGTGGGAAGTGGGTCTGTCAAGACAGATGTGCTAGCATGGAAACATAGGATATCCAGAGGGCATTAGTGCAAAAATCCTGGCATATATGATGATGACAGGAGTGTTTGTTCTGTGTGCCAGTACAGTAGGAGAAATGTTTCCTAGCCCTATCCAAAACCAGAATGGTGGGCTTCCTTACACAAAGTATCCAGAAAGCATCTGGTATGCCCCTCATCTCTGTCCTTGTCCTAAAGAATGTTACTGTTCCTTCGATATGTTATTTTTCTACATAGACTGTCATCCATGCTATACATACCATGCGCCATGGAATGTCTGATGTGGGATTCCCTTCTGTATGCTGTGAATACCATTGGTTAATAAAGAATCTGGTTTGGCCTGTTAGGGTAGAGTAGAGCTAGGTGGGGAAAACTAAACTGAATGTTGGGAGAAAGGAAGCAGAGTCAGGGAGAAGCCATAGAGCTGCTCCCGGAGACAGACATGCTGGATGGAACCTTACCGGCAGGTAGGCCACGAGTCTCGTGATAAAATATAAAATAATGAAAATGGGTTAAATTAAGATATAAAGCTAGCCATTAAGAAGTTCGAGCTAATAGGCCAAGCAGTGACTTAATTAATACAGTTTCTGTGTGGTCATTTCGGGAGTCTGGGCAGCCGGGAAACGAAAAAGCAGCCTCCTACTACAAATGTCTTAATACATCACTTGAAAAATGTTTCCCTTGAGACATTTGAAAAACAGCAGGCTCTATGTGACAGGCATTCTCAGAGCCAAAAGAATTTTTGTGCTGACTGTTCTACATATGGCTATTGAGCATTTAAAATGGAAGGATGAAATTTAAAATTCTTATTTTTTAATTAATTTAAATAGCCATATGTAGTTAACTGCTACTAACCATAGCCTGTAGTGGCATTTCATTTGTGGTTTAATAAATGAAGCTTGTCTGAAGATAAGAGAGTAAAACAACCCCACTGGTCAGCCTTACAGACCAGGCAGCAATGACACACACCTTTAATCCCAGTAGCCACACTAGCTTGCCATAGAAACCGGGTGGTGCATGCCTTTAATCCGAGCCCTAGAGAGGATTGTGAAACAGAAGGAGACAGCTCTCAGTCTCATTCTGAGATTCTTGGAGGCAGGATCCCCATTTTGGACTGAGGTAGAGGTAAGAGCCAGTGGCTGGCTGTTTTGCTTTTCTGACCTTCAGGTTGAACCCCAATATCTTTCCCTGAGTTTTTATTAATCTTGCTTCAATAGCCTGAATACTTTTATTATGTGAAATTATACTGCAACTTTTGAAGAGTGATGGAGACATTCAGTGGTTACTGTTGGCTATAGAGCACTTTAAAATAAGTGTGTTGGTATATGGCTTCCTTATAAAGCTCTTACCCAGAACATACATAGTCCTGGATTTAAAATTTGGTATCAACCCCTTTTAAAAAGGTCACATGACTCAAGTTTTATTTTAAATACTACAGTAGCAAACAAACAAAATTGTGTCCTTTCTTCTTACCTCATTTAGGCTTATCAAATGACATCATCCACAGTCAGGATTTGGAATGGCTTTGGTCTTGGTGCAGTACAAGAGATAGACTTTAAAATATATGTATACACATATGTATATATAAATATGTACACATGCATATATATATGTATATAAAGTGAGAGCTATACAGGTCATAATTCAAAGCTTATAATTCCTTTTTGCCTTGAGTTTAACCCTTATAAAGTAAGGTACTTTGTCGTTTTTGTTTTTGTTTTGTTTTGTGGTGCTGGGTTTCAAACTGGACCCTGCGTATGCTAGATAAACAGTCTACCACTTAGCTACACCTTCAGCTCCAGTTTGGCACTTTACAGTTAGGACACAGAGCATTCTCAAAATCCTATTTCCTACATTAATCATTTATATAGCTATGCTCAGTTATTGAAAACAACCTAGAGTTTGGTTTGTAATATTCAGTAGCCAATTGTAGGCACCGAAAACACTGGCAGGTAAGGGCAGGCCCGACACTTGCTGTAGCTCATAGCTGTGACACGGACCCTGAGGTCAGCTCCGAGCCTGACCCCTTCCTCTCACACATTTTCCCCCTTTGCTTTAATCACTGACATCACGAGTACATGGGAAGCCGCCGTCTCACTGAATAGCAGCGTTGGCGGAATGAGCAGCGGTTTCTCTCACCAGGCCTCATGTCTGCAGCATTGGGACTCAGCACTCCCTCCTCGAAGGGGACATCCATTCCCACATCCTCCGACGGGGATCTGAAAAGAAGCAAAAGAGAACATAAAAACACCACACCTGGCTTTTAAAATCAGTTAACAGAGTGGAGGATTGGCATTTCAGCTGGCTTGATGTAAGCCCAGTACATGTGCAGAGCCCATTGGTAAGTGGCCCCAAGCGCAGTTTCTGTGGATGAGAACCACAAATGCCAGTTTCCGTGACGCCACTAAGAGCAGTTTGACTGTGAACCCCAGTCACTTCTCCAGCTCCCACAAGAAATACAAATTCAGCAAGACTTCAGGAAGAGAAAAATGCAAAACGCTAATTCATGGCAAGGGATATCAGACATATATTTTTTTTTTCAACATGAGAGGCAAGAGCTGTGCTCTACAGTAGACATAGCTCAGTATCTATCCTCCCCTCTATCAATGTGTGCTGAATACCTCAGCTGCACCTGCCAAGGGCAGGCTACGCCACCGATCTCACTTTTTAAGCTTATCAACTAGGGCTGCGCGACCTACCTTACTCCGTGTTGAAGGACAAGCGATGGCAGCAACACACCTAACTTCTGAGCAGACAGGGCTGGCACTCTTCCCCCCACCTCTGAATATTTAAAGATTCCCCGCGGCTATGTGTTGCTGAAGATGAGTTTCCCCATTAACCATCTCTTGCCTCTGCTCAGAGCTGAGCCCAGTCCCACTCCTATCACCCTCCTCAGTAAGACAAAGGCTGAGGAGCCTGGGAAAGTAGAGAAAAACTTGACAAACCTGCATGCTCTTCTAGGGCGCTGATGGCTGTAGACTGAATGTCTCTAGTTTTAATTCTTTGGCCCTTGTCTGGTAAATGCTCACCTATCATGGTCTCACACATATCTTCTTGTTGGCTTCCATGAAATTTTAATCCTCTATGGTAAATTTTCAGATGTAGGCACAAATCTAAGTTTAAATAGGGTAACTCTATACTCGAGGTCTCAATTTATTTTCTTCCTCTATCCCTCCCTTAACGAGCCTTTTTTTTTTTTCTATACCAAAGATTTGGAGTTTGACCAACTTCTGTAGGAGTCAGGTTAAGTCCACTGTTATCAACAAAGCCCTGACGTGATAAGTCCTATGCCTCTGGTGATAACTATGCTGGCTTTGACTCTTCAACAGATATGTGTTGACAGTTACTATATGCTGAGAATGTAACATCCCATCAAGGAAATGGGAAGATGGAGCTAAATCAATGCCCAGTGCTCCACACAGCTCCGTAGTCACTTCCCTGGAAAAAAAAAGTGCCCCTGTCTGCCTCACTATCTCCAAAGACCCTTCTAAAACACAGCAGCAGGAATTGTTAAACATCCTCAAAGGTCCAGATGCTAAAGGCTCTGTTCTCACCTGTGGCATTCCTTCCTGAGGTACAGACTCTTTAGGGGACAGGCCTCCTAGAAGGAAAGTATGTCACTGGGAATGTGCTCTTGAAGGGGCTGTTGGGACATTGCCTCGAGTCTCTTTGCCTCCTGGCTGCCATGGCTGTGCCCTGTAACTCACTGCTGCCATGGATACTCTGCCTCACGCCAGGCTCCAAAGAAGCATGGCCAAGCAAGAAACTTCTGATGCTATCAGTCAAATACAATTCCTTCCTCTTTTTAAGTTCAACTGTCTTGTCAGCAATGGGAAGCTGACTAACTAGGGAGTGTCTCTGTAGAACATCTGTGGCTTTGACCGTATGCAGTTTTGAAAACTGACCCTGCACCAGAGCTGACAGACAGCGAGCAAAGCTGGAAGTATAGTTCAGGACAGCACCTGGCTGGCATGTGGGAAACCCCGCATTCAATCTCTTGCTACACACACATGAGCTCAGACCTTGTTCCTCTGAGACAGGGTTCCTCACTGAGCCTGGAGCACATGATTTTCAGCAACTCTGGCAGCCAGAAAGCCCCACACTCCTCCTGTCTACCCCCAGAAGGGTAGGAATGCTAGCCCAGCCTTTGGTCTGGGTGCTGGAATCCAAACTCCAGTCCTTCCATTTAACCACCAAGCCCTCTCTCTGGCCCTGAGGTTCTGATTTTGGAAGTCCTGGGATTCAGAGGGATAAATTCCTGATTTACCAAGATGGCATAGTTTGACATATATAGCATACACACACATACACACACACACACACACACACACACACACACACACACACACACATTGACCTTGTTGTCTCAAGTCATCTGTGGGGCTCTCCTGAATGTTAAGTCACTCTATCTGTCATGTAGGAAAATGCTGCTAAGAGCGGTTAGCCTCAACACTTAGATCAAGCTGGGTGTGGTGGCCCACAACTGTTATCTCTGCACTTGGGAGGTGGAGACAAGGGGGTCAATGCCAGCTTCAGCTACAAAAGGAGTTTGGGGCCAGGGGTGTGTCCATGAAATCCAGTCTCAAGAACAAAAGAAAAAGAAAATACAAAACCAAACAAAAACAACAAAAGACTTGAAAACAAGGCCAGCTAAATTAATCACTTGCTGTGTGCTACAAAACATGTTACACCATCATTTGTTTCTGTTTCCTCACCAATAAGAGGAGACTCTGACAGCTCTCCAGCATGATAGAAATCACCACACCTATCATCACCGAAGCCATTTTCTTCTCCAGGCTAAATGCTTTCTCCATGTGAAGCTTCATGACAACAGTGATGGGGGAAGGACATTGGTTAATTATAATAAAGAAACTGCCTCGGCCCTCATAGGACAGAAAATTAGGTAGGCGGAGTAGACATAAGAGAATTCTGGGAGAAAGAAGCTTAGTCGAGGAGTCGCCATGATTCTCCCGCTCCAGACAGACGCAGGTTAAGATCCTCCCTGGTAAGCCAGCTCGTGGGCTTCACAGAATATTAGAAATGGGTTAGAACAATATGTAAGAGCTAGCCAATAAGAAGCTGGAACTAGCCGGGCCAGGCAGTGTTTGAAAGAATACAGTTTCCGTGTAATTATTTCTGGGCATAAGCTAGCCATGCGGGCGGCTGGGTGCCGGGGACGCAGCCCCGCCGCTCCTATTTCAACACAACAGCAATGAAATCTACTTTGTTCGCTGTTGTATCTCCAGTACCCAGGTGGGTAAATACCCAATTAATCTACCTTAGACAGGAGTAGTTGAACACACACATAATTTCTCCAGTCTCCTGTCTGAGAGCCAATCCTAAATGTCTGAAAAAGCTTCAGATTCTGAGTGACCATCATACTGAGCTCAAGGCAGATGTCACAATACTCGCTTGACTGTGCACAGAGAAGTTCAGGCTTCAGCCTCAAAATAGGGTTGGAGTTTTAAACGTGACAAAGAGTATCAACCTAAATTTTGTGAGTTTTATGAAGCCTGCGAGTCACCAGCAATTTGGTGAAGTAACTGCAGAAGTTCTGGCTGTGAGGTCAGGGTTCTGAGCTGTGGTTGCCTTAACCACTGATGAGCTGATTGGCTGAGAAAACTGGCTGCCAGTTTTAAGGGTTTTTAAATAGAGACAATAAATAGCCAACATCACAGACTATGGAGAATAAACATACACAATATACATGAAACCCTCTGTCTGAGTTTAAGACATCCTTACAGTTAAGAAATAACATCAAAAGCAGTGGTTTAACTGAAGTATGGGTTGTACATGTTGGGACAAAACATCACCAAGATTCCTACGAACTGTGTATAAATCCAGGTAAGAGGTAATTTCACAGCTGCACAAATCTGCAGATCCTAGCCTGCCTCCCAGCTCACTGGCGTTCCAGAACAGAGTCTGAGCCCTCAGCAGCTGTCCTCAGTACAGAGTGGAGACCTGTGAAGACAGGATCCAGGAAAGGGAAAAGCTGAAGGCCATGCTCCGGGGTGTTTGGAGTCAAGAACTACCGACAAGCCCATGGGCATTCAGCGGTTATGAGGGAAATCCGAGCTGTAAGAGCCTAGAAGCCCGCCTAGGAGAGCCCAGGCAAGGCGCAGGAGCATAAATATCTGTAGAAAAGAAAGAAGTGGCCTGAAGAAGACTAGGTGGCAGAAGTGTGCCCGGTGAGCTGGCCACATGTCTCCACCTAGAGGATGCCTCATGACTGTTCTGTGGGTTCTTTAGTGGATAGAATAATGTCATCACTTGTCCCCCACTCCTGATCTTTTCAGTGACCATGTGACTCGCTGTAGCTAATGAAAAGACTTAGGAACAGGAGCGTGTGGTATCATCCTTCCTGCGTTGGTGGTCTTGAGGGTTCCGCCTGGCTAGATTTCCGGTGCCGATGATGCACTAAAGACCAGTGGGTACATGAACAAGAAACGGTTTTCTGTTCTGTTTTGCTGTGAGACCGTGCCCTCACCTGCCCATTCTGATACACACCAAACCTTATTCCTTCAGAGGGAATATGTGGCTCACACTATGTCAAAATGTTATTTGCTCATTTGGATATCCAATTTCCACATTCCCAACACAGTCTGTGTCTACGATACGTATCTTGCCTGGGACGTGAAAGTGTAGGAGTACATTTTAAAAGTGAAGACATGAATTTGGGAAGGCATAAAAGGTTTTCAAGTATACCATAAATTGAAGTATCAAAATAATACCTTTATGCTTTTTTTGTTTTTTTTTTTAAAGGTCATCATCTATTACTTCATATTTACTCAATCCACTCAATTTACTTAATTTTTTAATTGGTGTCATATTCAATTAAAATTATTTTGAAATGAATGTTTATAGCAGTAATATACTTCAATACTTAAATTGCCTAGAATAAATTAATCATGTGAATTAAGTAAAATATTGCTTTTTACTTCAATTTAGAGACCTTTTGGTCTCCCCGTCTGTGGTTTTCTGCCTTTGCTAAGTAAGAAGAGAGAATAGAAAGTTTTAGCTATGTCTAGCAGAGTGTAATGGCCTGTATACGTGCTTTCTCAATGTCCCCCCACATAGCCACAGTCTCTGTGGCTTCTGTTACCATACACAATTCTAATTTAAAAATATTAAATGGAAAATTCCAGAAAGAAAGAACTCATAATTTTAAAAACTGATACATCATTGCTACAATTCCCTTATTAGTTATTGGTTTTTTACC